CATGGGCTGCTGAAGACCAATTCTGACCTGGATCTTCAAGGAGGGTGGCAAACATGGGCTGCTGAAGACCAATTCTGACCTGGATCTTCACTGAAGGTGGCAAACATGGGCTGCTGAAGACAAATTCTGACCTGGATCTTCAAGGAGGGTGGCAAACATGGGCTGCTGAAGACCAATTCTGACCTGGATCTTCACTGAAGGTGGCAAACATGGGCTGCTGAAGACCAATTCTGACCTGGATCTTCAAGGAGGGTGGCAAACATGGGCTGCTGATGACTAATTCTGACCTGGATCTTTAAGGAGGGTGGCAAACATGGGCTGCTGAAGACCAATTCTGACCTGGATCTTCAAGGAGGGTGGCAAACATGGGCTGCTGAAGACCAATTCTGACCTGGATCTTTAAGGAGGGTGGCAAACATGGGCTGCTGAAGACCAATTCTGACCTGGATCTTCAAGGAGGGTGGCAAACATGGGCTGCTGAAGACCAATTCTGACCTGGATCTTCAAGGAGGGTGGCAAACATGGGCTGCTGAAGACCAATTCTGACCTGGATCTTCACTGAAGGTGGCAAACATGGGCTGCTGAAGACAAATTCTGACCTGGATCTTCAAGGAGGGTGGCAAACATGGGCTGCTGAAGACCAATTCTGACCTGGATCTTCACTGAAGGTGGCAAACATGGGCTGCTGAAGACCAATTCTGACCTGGATCTTCAAGGAGGGTGGCAAACATGGGCTGCTGATGACTAATTCTGACCTGGATCTTTAAGGAGGGTGGCAAACATGGGCTGCTGAAGACCAATTCTGACCTGGATCTTCAAGGAGGGTGGCAAACATGGGCTGCTGAAGACCAATTCTGACCTGGATCTTTAAGGAGGGTGGCAAACATGGGCTGCTGAAGACCAATTCTGACCTGGATCTTCAAGGAGGGTGGCAAACATGGGCTGCTGAAGACCAATTCTGACCTGGATCTTCAAGGAGGGTGGCAAACATGGGCTGCTGAAGACCAATTCTGACCTGGATCTTCACTGAAGGTGGCAAACATGGGCTGCTGAAGACAAATTCTGACCTGGATCTTCACTGAAGGTGGCAAACATGGGCTGCTGAAGACCAATTCTGACCTGGATCTTCACTGAAGGTGGCAAACATGGGCTGCTGAAGACCAATTCTGACCTGAATCTTCACTGGGGTGGCAAACATGGGCTGCTGAAGACCAATTCTGACCTGAATCTTCACTGAAGGTGGCAAACATGGGCTGCTGAAGACAAATTCTGATCTGAATCTTCACTGAAGGTGGCAAACATGGGCTGCTGAAGACCAATTCTGACCTGGATCTTCACTGAAGGTGGCAAACATGGGCTGCTGAAGACCAATTCTGACCTGGATCTTCAAGGAGGGTGGCAAACATGGGCTGCTGATGACTAATTCTGACCTGGATCTTTAAGGAGGGTGGCACACATGGACTGCTGAAGACCAATTCTGACCTGAGAATATATACTCTATATCAAGTTGAATTTCTGTAAAATTCTACGGAAGATGTGGCCCTGCATTTGTACTCTGTATGATAGTGTAGAATCTGTTGATAACAATCCAATCAATGGACAATAAAGGAACATCTCCAAGGAGATTTCAGTTGATCCTACACAAGTTTTATTTCTGGTTGAAGCAAGTATTGTATAACCAAGGAAACTTTGCGATAACAAGTACATGGTCATCTGTATGATATGATGCTGGAAATGTAAAGATTCTGTAAGCACTACATTTATTATTTAAACCTAAGAAAATACTCAATTGCTCGGAGTCTAGAATACTGACTAATGCAGAACATGCATCGCTGACAAAACAACTACTGTTTTCATAATAAGCGCCTAGGGCGCTCTCAAAATTAGAAATAGGGTGCTCTTATTATAAAATTATTATGGTGAAAAAACAGAGTTGAAAGATAGATTTCGTGGTTTATGCTGACAGCCTGAAATGCTTATGTATGACAGATATATTTTTCCAGAATATAATTGCCCATAATTAAGGGAGCATATAACACATGAGTGTGTATTATATGCAAATAAATAGGTCTTGAGTACATTGAACAGAAGGGGTGCTAATTGGGATTAGCAAATATCACTGGGGTGAGCAGGGTGCTTATTATGTCAACTACGGTAACACTACAACAGTATAATCAAAATACAGAAATTAACTCTTTTTTTAGAAAATAATCTTTTATATACACAAAAATAAAAAAGCTGACGAGCAAATAATTCATATGTTGTGACCCAATAAAAAATATTCTTGTTTACACATCTGTATTACATATCTATGGATAACATACAAAGGCCTTTATTCACATCAGTTTTGAGTGTTTGTTTTCTTCCTACATTATATGTTTTTGTTTGTTTGTTTGTTAAAAGCCACACTCAGCAATATTCCAGCTATATGACGGCAGACTGTAAATCTGTAAATCTTCACTGCTTGTGGTAGGCTAGATTTATGCTTGTTTGATAGTGCTAGCCCACAGAGATTCCATGCCACAGTTTAAAATGGATTCCCCACACAGACACAGTATACTAACTAGTTCTAGTTTTATCCCCTTTATGGCCAGAGCTAGGCAAGGAAACAAAAAATACCATGTCTTTTGGTATGACACGGCCAGGGGATTGAAACACCAACCTTTTTGGGAAGGGTGTGTCCTTTCATCTTGGCACTTTTCCTTCCATCTTTTATCGAAGACAAGTAACAATATTTTAAGACATCAATAAAAAAAGAAATTTTATGATTACTATTCATATGATTGTTTTTCAACACCCCATGACCACTGTCCCTATAATGTAGGAGACCCGTGGTAGAATAGGTGTTCAGCAACCCTTTCTTGCCATAAAAGGTGAATATGCTTGTCGTAAAAGGCGACTAACGGGATCAGGTGGTCAGGCTCACTGACTTGGTTGATGTCAGCGTATCCCAATTGCGTATATCGATGCTCATGATGTCAATCACTGGTTTGTCTGGTTCAGACTCGATTATTTACAGACCGCCGTCACAGAGCTGGAATATTGCTGAGTGCGGCGTAAAACAACAAACCAACAACCACAAGCAGCCAGCCAGACAGACTGCCTCATCCCACACACACCTCACCCTTCCCAAACTCACTTACATCAAAGATTTGAAGATGAATGACATTGGTAAACAGACTAGGTTGGAAGTAAAACAAAACTTGTCACAATAATAATTATATTCCACATTAAATGCTTTTTGTGCCAATAAATACGCAAACTTGGTAATTGGAAATACACACCAAAAACAATCAAAGATGCAGAAGCCCAAATATATTCTGACAAAGACAAAAAAAATAGGAAACTGGCAATTTAAGATGGCCTGACACAAATACAGTGCAACATACTGTGAGAGGCCACAAACCTGAGCATCACATACAGCAAGACTTCATGGTTGACAGAATTTGAAGTGATCTGGAAAACACTTTCAAAATATAATTATGGATGTAAAAATGTAAAAAATGACAACTGTCAGCATATTTAACTTCATAGGTACAGGCAGAGACCATATATTTCATTTAATAAAACTTATGACCAAAGATGTTGATGCCAATCGCCATGTTTGCCCAGCTGGGTTTTGTGCATCTTCCCGAGGCAAGAGAGTTAACTGACTTAAAAAGTCCAGTTTCCACCCTTGCCAACTAGGCTGGAATTCATGGGCTCGATCATAGTGCCACCAGTGGCTGTTAAGAGTTATGTCCCTTCTATGCCTCCCCTATAGACCAATCAGATTCCACCTCTGGTATCACTTGCATTTCTTTCAAACGGTGGCGCCCAGTCAAGACGATCTGATTGATAATCAACATCCATAACTATGATAAAACGAGTCTTACATCGCGAAGTGCATCAAATCACATGAACACCTTTATTAAAAACATGAAAAGATTTTGAAAATATCTGTTGACAACGAGTTAGTGGTGTACATGCTTTGCAAATCTTGCAATCGACCGAATTCTGCATGACAATTTACGAACCAGATTTCAATTTCGGAACGCGATTTTGATTGGACTATGCATAGACTCATCAGTCCAGCCAAAATGTAACTCATTAATACCATCCTAGTTCGGCAAGGGTGGAAACTGGACTTTTATAGTCAGTTTACTCACTTGCTTCGGGAAGATGGGTTTTGTGATGATTCAATGAGTATTATGATGATGGTGATGACGATGATCATGTCACGCGGTCCTGTGCACAGCGCAGAAATCAGGTGAAGTTAAGCAGTGTTGGTTGCAGAGGGTAGCTGGATGGGTGACCAGATTCGTCAGCTTGGCTCCTGATCGAGTTTCTAGAACTTCAGTCCTGCTACACACTGAAGCACATGTTACATGCGGTGTCTCCTGAGGCAAGTGACTTTGGTCGAAATGTGCCTCTGTTAACCCAGCAGTGAATGGTAATGTGACTGTTAACCTTCTAGCCCCTCACAAGCAGCTTGGGTTGTATACTCCCCAGGGAGCTGAGAATGAAAATCAAGCCGACACTCATCCATTGACTGGATTAATAATGTAGTGCTTTGAGCACACTGTTGGATGTGGATTGGCACATTATAAATATGCACATTATTATTGTTGTTATTATTATCATTATTGCACCTGCTGTGATTCTGATTAACTGATTTCTAAATCTAGATGTAGTTCTGTTGACTCCAGACAGTAATTGATATAGTTATCAACATCTGATTAAATGGGAATGTTTTACTTATTAAATACTTACACACAATTGAATATATCACAAAATTGCACACTGTTCAAATTAACCAAAGGTTATAAGTAAACCTGATAGTTATATCTTTTTCAAAGATGAGATTTTTAATATGTATTTAAATCCATGGATACAGTGTTATTTTGAATAATGAATTTCTGAAAAATGATCGACCACAAATAAGTTGTTGACCCAGAATACAATATCAAATTAATCATCCAAATTTAAAATCCTTGTGTTTTCGGTTCAGTGAGCATGGTTGCGCCGGTTTTACAACCCATGGGCGTGTACAAGATTCAACTTGTTAACCGGATTACCTCCCCTTTGTAACTCTCGCTACCTTCACGACAAGCATCACAATGGCTATCCTGCCAGCAACTTGGGACATGTATGACCTCATACAAGGTTTTATACAGGTGAGAAATAGAATGTAGAAGATGTATTACTATTTTTTAACACCATAGAATATGAGTATTTACATATCCTTCATGAAACTGATGACTGATTTTCACGTTTGTGTTTCTTTCGGTAAGGTGCACCTGCTCTGTTTTCGTGATGGGAGCCGGCCTAACAGTATATTTGGCTCATATTGTCATCAGAATGGAATGTATTTGTTATTATGCCATAAATCATGTAATTTCGTTCATAAGCATATCGTAATAATGGTTTAATTTGCTTAGTTGGTTTTATAATACAAATCTAACTTTGTTTTCTAACTTATTACATAAGCTATTAGTTAAAGAAAACAATGAAGTAAACATGTTTTATGAAATATTTATTGCGTAGAACACAGTCATTCCACAATGAGCTCATGTATTTCAAATAGAATTATCATAATTTAGGTATTTCAGAATATCATATATATGAAACAGGCGTTAGACATAACAGGAATAATTATACATTGCAGGCGCCAGCTTACCACTTGGTGTTTGAAGCTCTGTTGATAGTATGGATCTTCAAGCTTCTCTTATTCTCCAAGAGCTATGCTCCAGAAAGAACAGTCTTAACAGAAAAGGTTTGTACACTTTTGGAGTGGTGACCAAGCAAATCCTATTGTACAATGTTTATTAGGTGTGCAATCTATTTGGAAACATTTGTTTACCCTGATGACCATCTACTGGATGTTGCTGTTGAGTAGCATCGTGCGCTATGTTATTGCGGTAGTTCATTTTTAATGGACTGTAATGGCTCACGCTTACTAACCTATATAAATATGTCATATGGAAAATGTTTCTGATTCTTTGTTAAACTTTTATGACACATCAATTGATCGCTGCTGATTTTCTTGATCGAGTTCGGTAAACAAAGTACCTGTCATTAGTTACTCAAGGGCAGGCAACTCTATTTGATCATGGTGTCACTATTTTGTATTTTGTGGTGTGATACATGTGGATTAGGCACTTAACATCACTTCCTGTTTTGAATTATGCATAATCAGTATGCATACAACCGAGTTTGGGACACAGGACATTGTCCAAACCAGTGGGTTTTATTCTAACCACTTTTGAACGGATGTAGGGGTAATTAAATTTAAAAAAACATTACAGAAACTATAATAATAAGTTAGCGTGTATACTTACAAGTAGCCATGACATACCACAACGAGTCCTGTATTCGATCAAGCGATGAAATATTGTGCTTAGATATACGTTAGTAAACAGTCGACAGGGTGTGTGGATTACAACATTTGCAGAGACCGCGATAATATAGAGCCAGCGATATTGTAGAGTCATACTATATGCTGTTTTCTAAAACCCATATTGATCGTGATTTGTCGCGTTAAAAAGAGAGGTGTGATGTCATCAAAGCTGCTGACTTGACATAACACACATCCGACCTCTCAACATTAGGTACATATGAAGTTAGTGATAGGACGATACACCAATGCATCGGTGGATCGCAATATTTGAATTGCCGATGCAAGTATTGATCACAGTTGCCCCCTACGTAAAACATATCGATTCTTACCTTAAATGTATTCTTTAATAAATGTTTGTCCAAACACTAGTAGTTAAAATTAGTAGTGAAAAAGTAAATATTTTCATCCATTGTGCCATACTTGATACTGCCAACTGTAAATCATCAGTGTGCCAGGCATTTAAATATCCTGTCTATAAAAAATATGGGTTATGCACTTCAGATATGAGCTCATACAAATATTTTGATATGTATCGGATCCTGAGCCAATGTGCCCAGCATGCCCAGCGTGCCCTTTCCTCCTGCAATGTGCAGTTCAAAGTGGCACATGGTTAGGGAAATGCACAAAGTCACAAGGCTGAACCTAATTGGCCAATCAGAAGCAATAAAAAAATAGTCACCTGATGGACAAGTTTTACACCTGATCCAGAATGAACCAAACCGATTTTAGTGTGAACAAACCAGAATGAGTCGCTAGGCAAGAACAAAGGCATATGGCAACCTGCTGATTAGGCCCATTGTTTGCTTGTAGAATGGGAGGTTCAGCCCGGCTGTTCATGTAACAGCTTGTGTTTTCGTGCAATGGTTCATGTTAATTGTGATTATACAATAGCATGACTGGATGTAATATTAACTGGGAGGCTGTTTAGTGCAGGACAATCCAACTGAGCCTTTAAGTGACGGACAAAAATAAAACTAATATAATTCAATTAGCATCATTAGCAAAAATAAAAAGGTGTAAATGTTTGTTATTTAGTTTATGCTTAATCATTAGTAAACAATATTGAAATCAACATGTAGTGTTTTTTGCCATTGTGAGCTAGTTTGCAAATCACTAGTCTGTGGAGTGTTGTTACATGAAATAAAAGACCAGATGGGGACCTTGTCTTTTTCAACACTATGATCATTCTAACATTCTATACAATAACAAATAGGAAAGGTGACCTACCCAGAAATACTGGAGAATAAAAATGATATAATACATCATTTGAGCAATCACACATCATTTAGTGTAAAATAAAAGTATTCATAATGTATTCCTAAAGTAATTATAAATACAGGGGTTTGGAAGAGAGTATTCAAATACACAGAACTACAGATAAGCTGCGTATTTGCATGAAATACTCCCCAAAAATGTTCAAAACCCAATTACTTTCAATTATCTTGCGTACAGAAACGCATGCATTATATGAAAAACTCAAATGTATAAAAACAGCTTGCGTAAATACCCAATGAAGCTTTTTCAGCATGCATACAACGGAGCTAATTTCCGAAACACAATTATGAGCTAATTTACTTTCTGAGTTAAGCCTATATATTTAGAACAGTTATATACATCTAAAACATTATTTCACCTTTTTTTCAAAAAATTTAAATGGTCACTAATTTTGGGGAAAACCCAATAGAGTTATGAATGGATGAGTGAAATAATATTGGTTACCCAATGAAAAATGTTATTACCCAATTAAAATAGAAACCCTAGAGTAAAAACTCAATTGCTTAAAAAGTTATCTGGAGCTCTGTATACAGTATGAATATGTGTATTCATGGCCTTGCTTGACAACAGTATAAGGATATGTTCTGAAACATCGCCTTTACAGTAAATAGAGAAGTTGTTACCGTATTCGACTTAATAAGCGCCCAGGGCGCTCTCAAAATTAGAAATAGGGGGCTCTTATTAAAATATTATTTTGGTGAAAAAAACCAGTTGAAAGATAAATGTCATGGTTTATGCTGACAGCCTGAAATGTTTATGTACGGCAGATATATTTTTCCAAAATTTAATTGCCCATAATTAATGGTGCATATAACACAGGAGTGCGTATTATACACGAATGAATAAGTCTTGTTTACATTGATCAATCGGAAGGGGTGCTAATTGGGATTGTTCACGTCCCAATATATTAGCAAATATCGCCGTGGGCACTTATTAGAGCGGGCCGCTTATTACGTCGAATATGGTATCCATAAATTGTGTTTACTTTGTATTCATGAGTTGTTAACAAAAATAAATACATGTGAATACTCAATTTTTCGTCATGAATAATATCTGAATACAAATACCCCAGGTCTGGTTTCAAACTGGTGACTGACATTCCAGACTACGCTTTGAAAAATACTTTGACAAAGTTCTCGACTTAGAATTTGAAAGCTGAACAAAACAACCTGGAATGTTTAACAGATGACTTAGGTTGTATAGCAGTACTTCCCATGGGCCATGGAATATCTCCAATCTCATTAAAATCAGATCTTAGTTCTCGGTATCGCTAAACAAAGATCAGGGGACATCCCATTACGGGTCACGTCAGAACGACATTTCATCCGACCAATCAAAGCATCGCTTACCAGATCATGAAAATGACAGTCGGAATGTGTTTTCTAATCATGCAACCTTGAAAACTTTAACACGGGGTATTTCGAACGACAGTTACGGAATGATTCTGTCAAAAATATTGTCTAACTCTCGCTTCCATGGGATAAACATTTGAACAGAGGAGCGTTGCACTGTATAGGGGAAGTTCTGCAATACAATCGCAACAATATATTAGACATTCTGGAATGTTCGTTTGTTCAGTTTTGAAAATTTTAATCGAAAACTGTGTCAACAATTTTTTCAAGCGTAGTCTGAAATGGAAGTCACCAGGTTGAAACGAGTGCCGTAAAGCTCGAGAAAGCTGCTATCTCATTGGCTGATATCGACTTCTGGTTATTCATTTCAGTGGTCGGTCAAAGTTAGCAAAAGGTTGTTCTGACGTGATCCGTAATGGGATGTCCCCAGATCTTTGTTTTGCGGAAGCGAGAACTTAGATTCTGATTTTAATGAGATTGGGAATATCTCTTTTGTGCAAATAGTTATCCCATTGAAGGAAGAGGGAGAAGGTGATTGTGACAGATTCAGTCGTACACCACGTTATTGTCATTCAGAATACCTGTGTTAACCATTACAAGGTTGCATGATGAGGTAAAATGTAGTTTTTATAGCAATTTTGAACTGAGAGTTAGTGGTCTTCTACGTACCATTTGCCATGCTAACCCTTTGCAGATGTCGATAGTCACATGACAGCATTAATATACATCACCAATTACGTTACCACATCCCCAGTAGAGGTCACATTTTGATGGACCATAATATATTTCTTAATCGTTACTATCATTCTCAGTATAGAATATCAATATTGTTATGTTGATGTTATAACATAAAAACAATTCTGATGACAGCCTATGCCAACATCTTCTAGTCTACTAGCTCCAACATGTCCCTTGACATGATTTTGAGTAGATTTTAGTGTTATTATGTGGACTATGTATGTTGTCCAATCTCACTATCGCTAAACAAAGATCTGAGGACATCCCATTACGGGTCACGTCAGAACGACCTTTCATCCGACCAATGAAAGCGTCGCTTACCAGATCATGAAAGTGACAGTTGGAATGTGTATTCTAATCATGCAACCTCGAAAACAGGATATTCCGAACGTCAGTTATGGCCTGTAGGACTGATTCCGTCTAAATTATGGTCTATCTCTCGCTTACGTGGGATAAACATTTGAACGGAGGAGGCATTCCATAGTACGAGGGAAGCACTGCCGTACAATCACAACCATATATTAGACATTCGGGAATGTTCGTTTTTTTTCAGTTTTTAAAATAAAAAGCTCGAGAAAGCTGCTTTCTATTTGGCTGATATCGGCTTCTTGATAGTCATTTCAGTGGTCTGTCAAAGTTTGCGAAAGGTTGTGACCCGAAATGGGATGTCCTCAGATCTTTGTTTAGCGGCAGCGAGAACTTAGATTTGATTTTAATGAAATTGGTATGTTGGCATATTTTGTAGCAAGTGAACTTTCCAGGTCTGCAGAATGTGCAGATATATGAACTAAATTGAAGTTTTCCTTATCAATACTAACCACTCATTATATTTAATCGATGCGATGTTCATGTAACAACAGTCTGTGCCCAAAACAGGCCTCCGCTTGGCTCTTAGCATCATTCTCAGTACATTTTAGTGTCATCATATGGCGTTTCTGTTAGCTGAGCTTACTAGACCTAACAGATTTTTCTGGACTCGGACTAGTGGCTAAAGTTGCAGACTGTGACTATATATGTAATTACTTAACTATGGTTAGCATTTGTTTCTGTTCAAAATGTCCCTTGTTTGTATGCAAATGGTATATCATTAAAAAGTATTATCTGAAATATATAAGTGCATGAGAAATAATAAATGATGTATTTGTTTACAGGAAAAGGCAGACCTTATTGCCGACTGGCAGCCAGAGCCCTTGGCCCCTGATGTGCCAGACGACCACCCAATCCTGCAGAGCATGGAGCAGAACATGATATCTGGGTATGGGGTGACGGCACACCGTTTGTCTATAAGCAACTCCATCATTTTTCCCAGAAAGCATCCTTCTTTCAATGTACTGTTCATGAAAATGTATTGAGTCAATATGACAATATAGCAGTCTCCTTTAGTGGTCATTGTGTCAGAGGCACCGTCTAGTAGGTTAGTGGTTAAAGCGTTGCTCATTGACCTGAAGACCTGGGTTTGATTCCCAACATGGTACAATGTGTGGAGCCCATTTCTGTTGTCCTGCTGTGATATTGCTGGAATATTGCTAAAAGTAGCATAAAACCATACTCTCTCTCTCTCTCTCTCTCTCTCTCTCTCTCTCTCTCTCTCTCTCTCTCTCTCTCTCTCTCACTCACTCACCCCCCCCCCCCCCCCACAGTAAGTTTTCACGCCATGACATAACTGGAATATTGATCAAAGTTGCGTTAAGACTCACTCACTTACTCACTGTGGTCATGGTAATTCGACCTGTTTGCGGAACAATCATGTTTCTGATTTCAGCCGTCCAGACAAGTATGTTACCATCAATGGCAAGCGGTGTATCAACATGGCCACTCTCGACTTCCTTGGCATGATCAATGATAAAAGCATTGAGGTTTGATATTTAATAGTTTCCATGGTTCGACCTGTTTGTTATGTGACTGCCATTTGAACCCTGCTCTTTCTGTTTTATGGTTCACAGATTTGTTGTCATCCAATGAGTTTGGTAGATCCGAATAACAATAGAAGATGGAGCAGTTTCGCACATTATACTAACTCTATTAGGCTCTACTCTACTAGGCTAGGCTATTGTCATTTGGTCATTGTGGCTTTCTTTCCAGTCAGTTGAATGCTTAAACGAAGACACAGTGTTGCTGTGTTTGTTTGTTTGTTTGTTTAACGCCGCACTCAGCAATATTCCAGCTATATGAAGGCGGTCTGTAAATAATCGGATCTGGACCAGACAATCCAGTGATTGACATCATGAACATCGATCAATTGGGATATGATGACATGCATCAACCAAGTCAGTGAGCCTGACCACCAATGCTAGTATTGTGCAGACTTTGTTATGATGTATCGATGTCTAAATCATGTGTTGCCACCAAAGTTACGGGGAAGGCTTGGGCAGTAGATGTCTGGATGTTGCAGCTGATTGGTTGATTGTGGTTGTCATGGTTTTACTAGGCATGAAGGGATGGTCATGTTTGCTTACATTTTGTCCACAAAATGCATTATATTTGTTATCACTGTTATGAAGGATTCCATAAAAACGTGTCAAAAGAACATTTTGAAATAGAAATGAGACACTTCGCAATTGAAATATGTTTTTAATGTAACTTGAAGGGATGTGACGGTTAAGTAATCCTTTGCATTTTGTAGGCGAAGGCCATAGCAGCACTGAAAGTCTATGGGGTAGGCTCATGTGGACCGAGAGGCTTTTACGGAACCATGGGTAAGAAACTGAGAAACTGTAACCGTTTCTTATACTGGGAATTCGTTGATATGTGATTGATATTTATTTGTTATTCTTATATCAAATCAATCTTTAATAAGGTACTATGTGTAGTAAAAGATAAATATAAAAAAATTGTTTCATCTATGGGCGTGATGGGGGAGGGTGTGTGTGAGAAAAAAACACCCCCTATAATGACCAGTCCCAAAGATTAACTTTTAATTTGAGGTCAGTAAGAAAGAATATATTTCCAGTTGCTTTTTAAACCATCACATGTTTGAATAATTATTGACATGTGTTAGTGACAAGACGCGACCTATTTCCACCATTGATTTCCTTCTCAGACGTTCACCTGGAACTGGAAGAGAAACTGGCCAAGTTCATGAATTGTGAGGAAGCCATCTTGTATTCTTACGGGTTTGCCACCATTGCCAGCGCTATCCCAGCCTATTCGAAGAGGGGGGACATAGTGTTCTGGTAAGTTTCACATCAACATCAGATGCCATTTACAGTTTCCTTCACACACAGCATGGATTCTAAGCATGTCATAGAAGTGTCCCTAGATTTAGTGTAGGATTAATATATAAAGGTTTTCATTTAAGCACAATGTGGGTTGAAGTAAGAATATTACGAAGACATGTTACCACATGAAAGTTGAAACATCCATATTGTGTTTTGTGAAGTCAGGGGATATGGCAAGCAGATATGCAGAGTTGCTTCCCTTACCTATCCAGTCTGCAAGCTCCTTCCCAGCGCGTGGCACCTTCGTTACACTCTCGGTAACATCGCTGCCACCAGTGTGGGCACGGCCATTACAAGAATCTTGAAATTTGCCCTCTAATCCAATATGTAGTAACGTTTATACTTTTGTTTATGTCTTTGGGAATGCCATCATATTTCATTTTGAAAAGGTTTACGACTGACCATGTTTTCCAGATGAATTTACTTTGTTGTTTTAATAATCAGATTGGTTTGAGAATGCAGACTAACGGAAAATCAACCAACTTCTCCCTTACATTCTTACTATATCAATTAAAGATGATAGTTTTAATGACATAGAAATTCAAATTGACAAATAAAGAAAGTAATTTATCAGCGGTAAGTGTATTCGGCGTCACAACAGTCGTCACTTGTTTGTAAACATAACGGTTATTCGGTTGCGAGTTCAACTCCAAGCATGGTTGGGGCCACTTATCACCGTGGGGAGTTTGGACTGGTGGCAGTGATAGTATAGAGAGATCTGTGAACGGACTATCGCTGTGAAGAGCTTGTCCAGTCTGCTTGGTTCTAGAGTCATCGTGAGCTCTTGTGTTTCATCAAGTGGTAAATGTCTACAGCCGGCATTCCTTTTGTCTTCCCCCAAAACCTTTGGCTGAGATGGGACAATTTGAAATACTGTTTAAAGGGGTATAACAATGAACTCACGCCCCGTGAAGATCCGGGGTAGAATGGGTCTCAAGCAACCCATGCTTCCCGCAAGAGGCAACTATGTTTGTCGAAAGGGGCAACTAACGGTATCGGGTGGTCAGGCTCGCTGACTTGGTTGATGCATGTCATTGCATCCCCCCATTGTGTGGAATGATGCTCATGATATAAATCGCTGGATTGTCTGGTCCAGACTCGATTATTTACAGACTGTCGTCATGTAGGTTGAGTTTGGCATTAAACAACAAACAAAGAAATACAATGAACACTGACACGTACCAAATGAACAATGAAGTAGTTTGTAGTGTGCAACCCAAACTGTTTTCTTCTAACCATGCCACTGTTGTTGTTTGTACAGTGATGAGGGAGTCTGCTTCTCCATCCAGAAAGGTCTGGTGGCATCTCGTAGCATTGTCAAGTTCTTCAAGCACAATGACATGGCCGACCTGGAGCGACTTCTTATTGAGCAACAACAAAACGATAAGAAGGTATTTCAGGGTTTTATTTTGAGATCAGTCCAGAGTAATATTTGTTGTTTTCAGTTTTCCCATAGTGAGCTTACAGAGAACAAAACCTTTCAAAAATGAGACCTTGAAATATATCTTCAACCGTTTTTGTATTTGGATAATTTACAGTAATTGTCATTAAGAGTGAATCAAAATAGTCTGAAATGTTTAGTTTGTCTTCAGTGCATCCGTTATTGCTGATTTCAAATTGGTTGTACACTTCTTTAGTCACCTGACACGGCTTGTTAAAATCTTGGTGGCGCTGATCCAGAATCAGACTGGAAGAATTATATATACGACCTTCAGTAAACCAGTGTCCGTCTGTGTGCTCATGTGACCGCCTCCGTGGTCTTGTGGTAGAGCGTCTGCGCGGAGAGCGGAAGGTCCAGGGTTTGATCCCCGGCCGTGTCATACCAAAAGATGTTAAAAGATGGTACTTGTTGTTACCCTGTCTGGCGCTTGGCATTAAGGGGCTAAAACAAGGACTGGTCGGCTCGGAGTCAGTATACTGTGTCTAAGTGGGGTATTCATGTTAAACTGCGGCATGGTATCTCAGTGAGCTAGCACTATAAATGGGCATCAGTCTGGACTAGTACAAGCAGACACACACGTGCATGCACGTCGCTATATAAGTGCAATAATCTTGGACGCGACATTAAACCCCATTTCACCTCACCTCACCACCTGTGTGCTCATGCACTTCACCATTCAGTAGTATCAATGGGGGCAGCTGACATCTGTTGACTGACCGTAATGTCTTCATAACAAAACTTTGGACAATGTATGTTGAGCATGTTTATCATTATAGATTTGAATCTTTGAATGGCGTTTTGAATTTTTACACATTAAAGAGAGAGAATTTATGGAGGCCAACTTCTTTATTAGGAGGAACACAATTCCAAGTGTTGATTTAACTCAACAGACACTTACTATCTTTGTAAGCCACAATGGGAATTCGCCAAAACCCCATCTTGTACCTAATGTCAGAGGAAATGAACCTTAATTAGGTGAACTGATTATGTCAGGATGTGTTGATTTGTCACCTGATATTCCCGTATCTACCCCCTGCTCACTGTTTTGTTTTGTTACAGAATCCCAAGAAAGCCAAAGTGACGAGACGTTTTATAGTTACAGAAGGATTGTTTGTCAACTATGGAGACATCTGCCCTCTACCTCAACTTGTGAGTACCTAAAATGGATGTTGCTATGGTAACACTGTGACCTGGCTGTGACCTGTGTGTGACCTGGCTGATTCCCTGTTGCAATACTTGTTGTGTGTGGTTCAGACTGTTTACAGTCGGTGGTGATGCAGCAGGAGTTTTCCTGTACCTGACACACTGAGCCTCACTGTCCAGGTGTGCCTTGTAGACTTGTCCAGGTGTGCCATGTAGACTTGTCCAGGTGTGCCTTGTAGACTTGTCCAGGTGTGCCATGTAGACTTGTCCAGGTGTGCCTTGTAGACTTGTCCAGGTGTGCCATGTAGACTTGTCCAGGTGTGCCTTGTAGACTTGTCCAGGTGTGCCATGTAGACTTGTCCAGGTGTGCCTTGTAGACTTGTCCAGGTGTGCCATGTAGACTTGTCCAGGTGTGCCTTGTAGACTTGTCCAGGTGTGCCTTGTAGACTTGTCCAGGTGTGCCTTGTAGACTTGTCCAGGTGTGCCATGTAGACTTGTCCAGGTTTGCCTTGTAGACTTGTCCAGGTGTGCCCTGCAGGTGTGCCTTGTAGACTTGTCCAGGTGTGCCCTGCAGGTGTGCCTTGTAGACTTGTCCAGGTGTGCCCTGCAGGTGTGCCTTGTAGACTTGTCCAGGTGTGCCCCGTAGAATTGTCCACGTGTGAACTGTAGGTGTGCCCCGAAAAATTGTCCAGGTGTGCACATTGCTAGTCAGACTAGGGGGATTCCGGGTCAGAATAGGTCCCCAGCAACCTGATAGTGTTGTCTCATACCTCAACACAATGGATTGTTGCTCACAGTACCAATCACTTGATTGTCTGGTCCAGACTTGACCATGTTCAGGCTGCATCTTTTAGCTGGAACATTGCAGTTTTTTAGACAACAAACAAACAAACTGTATGATGTCATCTTTCGGTCACCAGGTGGAGCTCAAGTGGAAGTACAAGGTTCGCATTTTCTTGGAAGAGAGTCTCTCATTTGGTGTCCTGGGGAAGACGGGCCGAGGCGTCACTGAATATTTCAATGTGAATGTAAGATATCTGAGTCATAATTTGTCAAATTGTCAGTATTTTCCTTAACTTTAATTTTAGTTACTTACACATATTTTAAATTAAAAAAATATTTTTTAACTTATATGTCCACAACAGTATGCAATATTTCTTCTTTCTTTGATCATATGACAGTGTAGAACAGTGTAAAACACACACTGACCACCTGGCTCCCAGCATGCTTCTGTACTACTCATCACCTTTACCTACATAGTCCGTATTGTTCCGGACCCATGAAGATCCGGGGTAGAATAGGTCTTCAGCAACCCATGCTTGCTGTAAAAGGCGACTATGCTTGTCATAAGAGGCGACTAACGGGATCGGGTGGTCAGGCTCGCTGACTTGGTTGATGCATGTCATCGATCCCAATTGTGTGGATCGATGCTCATGATGTCAATCACTGGATTGTCTGGTCGAGACTCGATTATTTACAGACCGCCGTCATATGCCTGGAATATTGCTGAGTGCAGCGTAACAAACAAACCAACCAACCAACCAAACCGTATTGGACAGACCTGTATTTGCTTCGCTCCCAGTTTATGATTGGAATAGACTAAGTTTGTCATTTGGGTTTGCTGATCTATTTCAACCCTTGTGTAACATTATTCAGGGTCTCAATGAATGACAAAACGGCAACTTACCTTCCTGTGTTCATTGCACAATACATATCTTTTACCATCCACTAATGGGGTGGTCCTTTGTGTCTTTGTTATTGTTAATGTCTCATATAAATCTACAGTCAAAGGTCGTTTACTTCTTTGCGACTCAAGATTGATTACAGATCACTGATGTCCATCGACTATGAGTTCCGTCTGTCCCTCCTGCCATTGTCTCTCATTATCACCTTCGTGCAGGTTTGTGACAAGAATTGGCCTGCTGATGAAGGACTTCCTGAGGGAACTGCCCTCTGCTTTGGTTGAGATTATTTGTGGACTTGGCTCAACTTCTCATGCATGCCACGGGCTCCGTCCTGCTTATATTGAGGATCCGGGGTGACGCCCATTCCTCATGTTGGAGCTTTATGTAAACCTTGGTCGTCCGAAAAACTCTTTGACAATGAGAGGGGTACCCAGTATTCGCGTAGGACACCCTATCGGCCCTGGGCTAAGCAACTCAATTGGGTCCAGCCTTTGACCCAGGCCACGTCTTCTTGGGCACTCAGCCCTCCTAATCAGCATGTTCTGCAGTGATGCTCCTTCCTGTGTGGATGACTGGGACCTATTGCAACCAGTCGTCCCTCTTCATGACTATTCTCTTGGCAGACACCTCCAGTTGTTCTGGCAAAACTGGGACCAACTCTTCCCGGACTGCTGGGTCATTCAGACTCTCCGCTACGGGTACCCCTTACCCTTTATAGCACTGTATCGCCTCTCCAACTGACGTACCTTGCCTAACTTTGGAGTCGTTATAGGACAACATCAGGCTTCTGGACAAGGAGGTAATAGAACCCCTGTCTCCAGAGGTCATTACGTAAGGATTTTACAGCTGCATCTTCCTGGGTCTGAAGAAATATTCATTGTAACTGCCTATGATTCACAATCTGTGTGCAATTTCATGGACAAACCTCCATTGTTTTGGATGATTTTTTCTTCAATAGCCGACATAACAAATGGCAAGTCCTACCGTCTGACATCTCTACGGCCCTGTGTTTTTTCACTCATATTACCAAACCCCTCGGGTTGTTCCCTGTCAGCGTACATTGACTGTTTCCTGATGAGGGATCCCTCGTTTCAACTGGAATTGACTCTCTCCCAGACCCTACAAATCATCGGGGGGAAACGAGTTGAGGACTCCTCCTTGTTCCACTGGCAAGGTGGAATTTGTTTCACCCTCTTGTCCATGCAGGCCTGTTGTCAGTGTTCCACGGGCATGGTGGAATTTGGTTCACCCTGTGGTCCAGGCAGGTCTGTTGTCAGTGTTCCACAGGCATGGTGGAATTTGGTTCACCCTGTGGTCCAGGCAGGCCTGTCGTCAGTGTTCCACGGGCATGGTGGAATTTTGTTCACCCTCTGGTCCATGCAGGCCAGTCGTCAGGGTTCCACGGGCATGGTGGAATTTGTTTCACCCTCTGGTCCATGCAGGCCTGTCGTCAGTGTTCAAGGGCATGGTGGAAATTGTTTCACCCTCTGGTCCATGCAGGCCTGTCGTCAGTGTTCCACGGGCATGGTGGAATTTGTTTCACCCTCTGGTCCATGCAGGCCTGTCGTCAGTGTTCCACGGGCATGGTGGAATTTGTTTCACCCTCTGGTCCATGCAGGCCTGTCGTCAGTGTTCCACGGGCATGGTGGAATTTGTTTCATCCTCTGGTCCATGCAGGCCTGTCGTCAGTGACTGAAGTTTCACCCGCCCCGCCTGGCAGCTTGGTCACCAGTATGTGGGCAATCTTGGGAAAAGGTGGGTTAGGAGTAGTACAGGAGCATGCTGGAGTGAGGTGGTTGGAGGGTGTGTTTGGGCGACTGTTCTACACTGTTATTTGTTTGAAGCAAGAAGGAATATTGCTTACTGTTGTATCAGGATGTAAATAAGGGAAATGCTCTGATTCCTATTTTCCTTCAACTAGCTAAATCAAAACATCTTAATTATAAAAAGTCTGTTAGACTGTAGAACAATTATTTATATATTGCATTACTGTTATCTTGTGATTATATTGTTTTTACAGATAGAAGAAATTGATCTGATTGCTGCATCTCTAGAGAACTCCATTGCCTCCATCGGGGGATTTTGTTGTGGGCGGAAATACGTCATTGATCACCAGGTAAGCATAGGAATGATTCTGTTGTGGGCGGAAATACGTCATTGATCACCAGGTAAGCATAGGAATGATTCTGTTTTGGGCGGAAATACGTCATTGATCACCAGGTAAGCATAGGAATGATTTTTATCAAGTCTAACGATCAAAACAATAATGGTTTTATTCGAAACTTCTTAATCGTCTGAGTAACCAAGGTTCTCAATCATCTAAGGCGCCACAGTTCGCTGTTTCTAGGTTTGTCAGCACAATACCCATGTTTGTGGGTTCCACCAAAATTGTAAATGTCTGAGACCTGCATCACTCACTCACTCACTCACTCACTCACTCACTCACTCACTCACTCACTCACTCACTTATCACTCACTCACTTATCACTCACTCACTCTCATCCACGCACCCACTCACCCACGGTACAAGAGATATTAAATATGGTATTCTTGTTTCCCTGCCTGGGAGTGGCTATATGCTGTGACTGAGGAGGGTAATCATAATCAACTGCTGCATGGTATCTCATTTGGCTAGCACCATAAAACCAGCATTAGTCCTTCCTAGTACAAGCAACCAAACACACGCATTGGAATATAATTGCAACCTTATTTCACCTCATCTGGTCTTTTTTATACAAAAGCATCTTGGAATTTATTGGGGGAAAAGAATTCAATTATGTCTGATATTTTGGGTGAACGTGATATGCAGTTTTGTCAGAATGGCTTCTTTGGTGCCTGTTGATGGTGACGATGTCTGTCCGTGTTCCAGCGTCTGTCAGGACTGGGCTACTGTTTCTCGGCCTCCTTGCCCCCCATGCTGGCTTCAGCTGCCACACAAGCCATAAGCATCCTGGAGAACCAGCCTGGTGAGTAGACCTCAGTAACAGCGACCCCTTCGCCTACAAGGGACTTAGTGGATCGAGTGGTCACTGTGACTTGGTTGGGTGCCTGTCATTGTACCCTGATACCATGAATTGTAGTGCATCTCACTTGTTTGTCTGGTTCAAGCTTGATTAACCTGTGAAGATTCCGGGGTAGAATAGGTCTTCAGCAACCCAAGCTGAAAAGGTGACTATGCTTGTCGTAAAAGGCGACTAACGGGATCGGGTGGTCAGGCTCGCTGACTTGGTTGATGCATGTCATCGATCCCAATTGCGTGGATCGATGCTCATGATATCAATCACTGGATTGTCTGGTCCAGACTCAATTATTTACAGACCTCCCTCATATAGCTGGAATATTGCTGAATGCGGCGTTAAACAACAAATCAACCAAATCAAGCTTGATTATTTACATACAGCTGAAATATTGCTGAATGTGGCTTAAACAACAAACACATCTTCCTAAAAACATCATCATCAGCATCATCAGCATCAGCATCATCATCACCACCAATGGGAGTCATCAGATCACTCAGCCAGTACATACAACGCATACTTAAAGTATAATGAACACCTCCCTACTTCTGTTGGAAGACACATATTATCTGGGAGATGTGATATTATTATCAGCTCTCAACAACATGTGGGTTGACAAAATGGTAATCTGTTACTAACAACTCAAATGTTTTCATGACATCTCATTCATAGTATTAGCATAACAATTTCCTTTCTTACCAAATGATGAATGTGACGTTATAAGGTGACTTCGGGGACAATGCAAATGTTCACCTACCAATGATGATAAATGTAGAAGGACGCAATTGGGCCCCCACAAAAGATCCATAGTTCTAGATGTCATGTTTTAACTTACTGGACTTGACTGTACTGTTAAGTGTGACTTAGGCCTTTGTTCCCTAGCTAGAATAAATATGATGGACTTGTTTGTTTTCAGTTTTATTGACACAGCTGGAAGAGAACTGTAAGCTGATGCACGAGGGCCTCTCAAAGTGAGTAGAAGGAAGGCAGTTTCTTTGTGGGTTACTTCTGGGGATTCCCCAGTGCCTCATGCTTGTCATGAGTGGATACAGTGGTGGGTTGGTGTGACAGGTGATTGGATGGACACCTAGGGATTCCCCAGTGCCTCATGCTTGTCATGAGTGGATACAGTGTTTGGTTGGTGTGACAGGTGATTGGATGGACACCTGGGGATTCCCCAGTGCCTCATGCTTGTCATGAGTGGATACAGTGGTGGGTTGGTGTGACAGGTGATTGGATAGACACCTGGGGATTCCCCAGTGCCTCATGCTTGTCATGAGTGGACACAGTGGTGGGTTGGTGTGACAGGTGATTGGATAGACACCTGGGGATTCCCCAGTGCCTCATGCTTGTCATGAGTGGATACAGTGTTTGGTTGGTGTGACAGGTGATTGGATCGACACCTGGGGATTCCCCAGTGCCTCATGCTTGTCATGAGTGGATACAGTGGTTGGTTGGTGTGACAGGTGATTGGATGGACACCTGGGGATTCCCCAGCGCCTCATGCTTGTCATGAGTGGATACAGTGGTGGGTTGGTGTGACAGGTGATTGGATAGACACCTGGGGATTCCCCAGTGCCCAATGCTTGTCATGAGTGGATACAGTGTTTTGTTGGTGTGACAGGTGATTAGATAGACACCTGGGGATTCCCCAGTGCCTCATGCTTGTCAAGACAGAACACAGTGTTTGGTTGGTGTGACAGGTGATTGGATGGACACCTGGGGATTCCCCAGTGCCTCATGCTTGTCAAGAGTGGATACAGTGGTGGGTTGGTGTGACAGGTGATTAGATAGACACCTGGGGATACCCCAGTGCCCAATGCTTGTCATGAGTGGATTCAGTGGTGGGTTGGTGTGACAGGTGATTGGATAGACACCTGGGGATTCCCCAGTGCCTCATGCTTGACAAGAGTGGATACAATGGTTGGTTGGTGTGACAGGTGATTGGATAGACCCCTGGGGATTCCCCAGTGCCTCATGCTTGTCATGAGTGGATACAGTGTTTTGTTGGTGTGACAGGTGATTGGATGGACACCTGGGGATTCCCCAGTGCCTCATGCTTGTCATGAGTGGATACAGTGTTTGGTTGGTGTGACAGGTGATTGGATAGACACCTGGGGATTCCCCAGTGCCTCATGCTTGTCAAGACAGAACACAGTGTTTGGTTGGTGTGACAGGTGATTAGATAGACAACTGGGAATTCCCCAGTGCCTCATGCTTGTCATGAGTGGATACAGTGGTTGGTTGGTGTGACAGGTGATTAGATAGACAACTGGGGATTCCCCAGTGCCCAATGCTTGTCATGAGTGGATACAGTGGTGGGTTGGTGTGACAGGTGATTAGATAGACACCTGGGGATTCCCCAGTGCCTCATGCTTGTCATGAGTGGATACAGTGGTTGGTTGGTGTGACAGGTGATTGTGACCTTGTGATTGTGTGTGTCATTGTCTGTGTGCTCACACCATCACACATATGTGTACTAGTTCAGGTGTAGATTGCAGTCTGAATCTAGTTGTGTTATACAACACTTCAAATAACTTTAAGCTATATGTTTATTTGGTTTGATGCAAGTGACCTTCTGTCTCAGCAAATGCTTTGAACATGCCAGGGACAGATATGACATAACAGGCATGTTTAGTCTAGTCTTGATGTGATGTTTTCCAGGCTTGAGGGTTTCTGTGTCTTGGGGGATCCTGTCGCTCCTATCAAGCATGTCCGCCTGTCTGAGCCATCTGATGACCGTGATCTGGACATGAAGACCCTGCAGATGATTGTGGATCATGTGAGTGACACTGTGGTCATTATAAATATTGCATTCAACCCCCAACAGTTTTCCCTTCCACTAGTTTATGTAATATCTTTTCAGGATAATGTACTTAGAAGTGTTACATGAGGACAGTCAGTTTGACTTTGTAGTTACAAGGCAAGGGGCTCCTGTGGCCATTAAACTCATTCAAGTCTAAGTCAATCTCATTAAAATCAGACCTTAGTTCTCGCTACCGCTAAACAAAGATCTGAAGACATCCCATTAGGGGTCATGTCAGAACGACCTTTCATCCGACCAATCGGTGCGTCGCTTACCAGATCATGAAAGTGACAGTCGGAATGTGATTTCTAATCATGCAATCTCGAAAACTTTAACACGGGGTATTCCGAACGATAGTTTTGGGTTTAACGACTGAATCCTTACAATCTTGACCATCTATTAGCCATTCCAGAATGTTTTTTTGTTCAGGTTTCAAATTTGTAATCGAGAATTTGTCAAAATATGTTTCTGAGCGTAGTCGCCAATTTGAAATTTGTGCCATAAAGCACAAGAAAACTGCCTTCTCATTGGTCATTCCATTGGTTGTTCAAAGTTCGCGCAAGGTCGGTCTGACGTGACCCGTAATGGGATGTCCTCAGATCTTTGTTTAGCGGTAGCAAGAACTAAGATCTGATTTTAATGAGATTGAGTCTAAGTGGAACTTTAAGCAATGAACTTTAAAAATTGTTTGTCATATATAGTTTGTCATATATAGTGTTTCAACTAGCCAGAAACAATAATTTTTCTCTAAAAATTAATTGTCTTGTGAATTCAGGATGTTCAATCTGAGAGTTATCTCCCTTGGATTCATACATTTCCTTATTGAAACTGAACTGTTATCACAATGAAAATTCAAAATGATGCTTAAAGTATGAATATTGTTGTTACAGTCGAGGCAGCAGGGCGTTGCACTGACTCTGGCTCGCTACCTGGAGAAGGAGGAGCATGTCCTTCCATACCCCAGGTGACTGTTACCTTGTTAGTTGCTCTGCAGAACAAGCACCTGCTGCTACTCCAAGGGATGGAGTGGGCAGGCGGTCTCAAGCGTTAGGCCAGCAAGCGCCAGATGCTGAGATCTTAGGGCTAAGACTATTGTAAGCCTATGTTAAAGTATGGGAGTTACGATCATCTTAGCGCTAAGATCGCTTTGTGCAAGTGGGCCTAGGTGGTTATTCAGCCTATGGACCAACAATGTTTACAGGTCTTTACGGTGTTGTCACTACCCCTAGTGTACAGCCAGTACTGTACATTTAACAGTACCCAGTCATTCAGTGGTAGATGACCAGATCGTGGAAACACGAATACATTCATCCACCCAAAATGTGTGGTGTCACCCTGGGCAAGTGACTTAGTTCAAATGTGCCTTTGTCCAACCAGCAGGGACTGAGTACCTGATGCATGAGGTGATTGTAAAATCCCTCTACCCCTGTAGTCAGCTTGGGCTGTATGAACCTAGGGATTGGAGAAGGATAACTGGAATGAATACGGATCCACTGGTTGGGGAACAAATATACTGCTGTTGATCAGATACTAGTACCTGGATAAGTGGGGGATGTATATGTATCATAAAACTAATATCGTAAAACTGATGTAACTATTGGCAGATGTACCACCACCATAACACATAGCATCTAGCGGTTAAATATAACTACTTTGGTTGGTTGGTTGGTCTGTTTGTCGTTTAACGCCGCACTCAGCAATATTCCAGCTATATGACGGCAGTCTGTAAATAATCGAGTCTGGACCAGACAACCCAGTGATTAATATCATGAGCATCGACCCACGCAATTGGGATCGATGACATGCATCAACCAAGTCAGCGAGCCTGACCACCAGATCCCGTTAGTCACCTTTTACGGCAAGCATTGGTTGCTGAAGACCTATTCTACCCCGGAATCTTCACGGGTCTATAACTATTTTGACACATGACATTTATGTTATTTTTTTGTCTATGTAATAATACCTTAGTGACTAAATGTAAGGTCAAAGTTCGTGCTTATTTTCAGTTGTTACAGTCATTAATTATACTGTATTTATTTCAGTATACGAGTGTCTGTGAACTGCAAATTGGAAAAAGATGAGATTGATCGTGTGTTGAGTTCAATGACTGCTAGCGTAAACAAGGTCATGTCTGCGTGAGTATAACACACATCGCTGAAAATCTCCCATCGTATTTCTGATGACTCATGTATGAATAAAGCCCCAAATCAGGAGGCAGTGGGGTACATTTTTAAGTTGTTTTCATTATCACTAAGTAGTAAATATGGAAGAGGATATTACCGTATTCGACGTAATAAGCGCCCACGGCGATATTTGCTAATATATTGACTAGTGAACAATCCCAATTAGCACCCCTTCCGAATGATCAATGTACACAAGACTTATTTATTTGCATATCTTTATTCTTATTTTTTTTTTCATTATTTATTTGTGTGTTATATGCAACCTTAATTATGGGCAATTAAATTCTGGAAAAATATGTCTGTCGTACATAAACATTTCAGGCTGTCAGCATAAACCAAGAAAAATATCTTTCAACTCTGTTTTTTTTTCACCAAAATAATATCTAATACTAGCTCCCTATTTCTAATTTTGTGAGTGCCCTGGGCGCTTATTACGTCGAATACGGTATGCATATTAAAAATGGGTGAAGCCCTCTATTGGTCTCTTCTACCATGATTTGGTAAAAGGGGCATAAAAGCATAGTCACTCACTAACTCCAAAACTTGAAAGATCAACAAGAGTATTTCTTTAAGAAACTGGCCAGCCGATGACCACAATATGTCTGTGTTCCTTTCCAGCACATCATAGCAGCTGCAGAGTTTGATGGCAAAGCAGTCTACCTACTCCACGGATACCAGATACTTGACGACCATCACTACACATTATATATATCATGACTCTCACTTACACATAGTCACACGTGGAGACGTGGGATAGTACAGTTTGAAATAAGTGGGAAATGTCTTGTTCATGTTTCCATATCACTTCTGAATGTCACTGGCTATGAACACACAATGCCATTTAGAATGTGGTCAAATGGTTCAAATGTTATATTTTGGATAACACTTCTCTTAGTAAAGTACAGATTCTAGAACATTATCGAGCTGAGTCCCGTCCGGGATTCGAACCCTAACAGGACTCAACACAAAAATGAACTGGAATCTGTACTTTACTAAGAAAGTGTTATCTCAAATATAACATTTGTCATTAGCTATGTTTTTAAAATAAGTCAGTTATCAGAGTTATTTTAATAGTTTACAGGATGAAGGTAGAATTAAAATGCTGACATGTTTGAGGTCCATGGAATTACCGTAATGGTTACATTAAATAAGATATAATGGGGTAGGGTGAAATTTGGGGAGTGTGAAGTACATCCTCAATAAGACACTTACTTCTGACATTTTTTTCATTTTTTTTTATGAAACTGTGTCTGTAAATGATGTAACAGTTTTGTTCTGAGATTGTAGTTCCCAGAAAGCCTGTAAGCTAATAGTGAGATGTGAATGTTTCCTAGGCTGAACTTCTCTGAATATTTCTTGTATCCACATGACCACTGTGTAGTGGTGGGGTGTGTGTGTTGACCTGGTGGGGTGTGTGTGTTGACCAGTCTGTCCGGCTGGTCCAGGGTGCCAAGCTGCCTGACTGCTGGGGCTTGTAGGGTGAGGACTGTGATGAATGTAATGTGCCAGTGTGCACCCTACAGTGATGGTTTGTGGGAACACATCAGCATTGATCGTTATGCATGTTACAGCACTTGACACGTTTTACTTCCACAGCACTTTACAGCCAACCTTTGTTGACTGCTGATTGCCGCATTTTATTTCAAACCTTTTTCAGCAGTTTAGAATATCTCAAACTTGTTTTTGTGTTGTGTCAATGGACTACATCTTGACCAGCACAAATCATCCTTCAGATGGTGAACTCTTTCTTAAGTCAATAGAGGTGAGATGACATTCAAGGCAATGTCATTGTGGTTCTCTAAGCTGACTTTCTTTCACAGACATTTATTTTTTTCAAACAGTTTTGATTCTATATTAAAAGTATACAGAGAATATATTAAGGAAGGTGCATAACAGCATGTGATAATAATTACATTGTACATGGTGGGAGGCTGTATTTTTAAACTGGGGATATGTGGGTATGAAGTCTTTCACAGACTTGGTGCTGGTTGAAATCAATAACAGTGATGAGATTACATTCTGGTTTTAATTATTGCAAACTTTCCTGATATTTCAGATCTTTTTCGGAATTTGATTTTCCATTGACTACAGTCCTTAGTGCCAATTTTTGATGCTGAAATAAACAAATTGGTGTTTGTTTGCAAATGTGTACCTGTCTATAATTTTTTTTAAGATCTTAAATTTTTTTATAATCCCTCTACGAGATAAGAAATTTAACTATGTTGACAGTTGTTTCAGAGGAACTGTTCGTTGTTTCATCATGGAGTACATACTGTAGGCTGCAGGTGAACACTCACACCTTGATCAAGTAGTTGGGAATGGTACAGACATGTGTGTCGCCTCTGTGTCGTGTTCCTGTGCAGTGAGCAGTGGTAGCCCAGCTGAGACATCCTCTTGTTACATTCGAAGGCCAAATGTGTCTTGTTTATTAGGGCTGGGACAGGTAACTCGGGTACTCGGGGACCCGGGGACCCACACGACTACCCGGACATGTGGTTTGTCACGTGATCTGTTGTTTAATGCCAAAACTTATGTAGAACTCCTGGTTACACATGGTTCTGACGATGCACGCATTGCTTCTTACTTTTATATGTTTGAATAAAGATAAAGCTTAAGTCAACTTCTGTGTATGTGTAACCAGATCGCTTTATAGTGTTGGGGAGTGTATCTAAATACTTTTTGCCAGAGCTCCGTTCAAACAATTCCCACTGGACATTTTGTACCCATCTCTTGCGACCTACAGAGGGTACCCGGGTAGGGTCGGGTAATAGGGGGTTGGGTACCCGGGTAGTAAATTTGGACTCCTCCCAGCCCTATTGTTTATGACTGTATATAATGATGAGGTGGATATATTTATAGATATGTGTGTTTCTGTTGTATGTGAGCACTTTCATCACCTCCCTGTTAAACCAGGAATATATTTTTAATGACATATCATATATATTAATTATAAACTTCTATATATATATAGCTTCTCTGTACTGGCCTCAGTGGTGAAAGACCCTGGCATGACATCACATTACTGACCATGTCATATTCTATGTATTATCGCGCTCCTCATGGTTTATTCTCCCTGCAGTGTTTTATTGTACGATAAACAACTCCCACTCATTTATTTCTTATGAGATATCAACATTATATACAGTTTCTTTGAAGATCATGAGATGTAAAGCTTTGAAAATATTTGACCGTTTATTAATAATGATGACTCCCCCAATAGAATCTGACCTCGGCAATGTTGTACAAGTCCATTTTACGCACAGGTGAATGTTTCCTGCATTCTCACAATCCTCGAGTCCATTACCTGCACCTTTTCTCCCAATACTGATTGTCATATCTCTCTCACTCTTGGATGCGATCGTTCAGTCGTTGTGTTTATCTACATACCCCAACTACATCTACTGGGAACAACTCACCGTGTATTCCCTCTCAAAAGGGGCACGGGTGGCCCAGTCGTCTAAGGTGCCGCGATTCGCTGTGCAGAGTTGCATCCCTTGGGCACGCCAGAAACCTATGATTGTGGGTTCGAATCCGGGGTTTGCCCCGATTATGTTTCTAGGTTTGTCAGCACCATACCCGTGCTCGTGGGTTTCACCGAAGTGATAAACGTCTGAGACCTGCATCACATTGGGCTTTCCTCCCACATTAAGCTGACACGCCGTAATATAACTGGAAAACTGTTAAAAGCGGCGTTAAACCCAACTCACTCACTCACTCCCTCTCAAAAATACCGTCATCCAATTTACGACATCATCTCCAGAAATGACATCATGATAGAATGATGTCTTATCATGAAATAAACCACACATCTTTCTTCATTGTTCTTTGCGATTAATCACGTATCTGTCTTATATTTTGTTATTAGATACAGTTTTATTTGGATTGGTCCGAGTGAGTACCACTAAACAAACCTGAAGGGCGTCACTCTAGGAATCAGAGCCACATCCCCTTTTCATTGGGTCATATTAAGAGGAGACGGCAGTTTTTGTCTACCGAATACTGTATAATTACTTTCACCAGTTTATGTACTCGCCCCCCAAAGAAACGCAAACCATAGAAACATAGGGAGAACTATTTACGGTAAGAAGAGATTCCAGTGTGTACCAATAAATGACAAAAGTAACATTCAGTCAAGTAGTACCACAGACTGACTTTATTCTTATCATGATAAACTGGGGGGCACGGGTCGTCTAAGGCGCCGCGATTCGCTGTGCAGAGTTGCGTCCCTTGGGCATGCCAGAAACCTCTGATTGTGGGTTCGAATCCCGGTTCGCCCCGATTATGTTTCTAGGTTTGTCAGCACTATACCCGTGCTCGTGGGTTTCAGCGAAGTGGTAAACGTCTAAGACCTGCATCACTTGGGCTTTCCTCCCACATTTAGCTGACACGCCGTGATATAACTGGAATACTGTTAAAGGCGGTGTTAAACCCAACTCACTCACTCACTCACGATAAACTGCACGTGATTTCCAAACTTTACATGCTTATCCTGCACAAGACAAATGGTGCATCTCGAGTCATGGATCTGTGACATCACGTGTGATGTGTTCATGAGCGTCGATTTACACAACATAACAGTTTGTTTTTTGTGCCTCTAACCAATCTAGTTATCTCTTGAATATAAGTAATTCCTCATATAGTAACCAACATGTATGGTAGACATGTTTCTTTTGGTGGTGAGTATACTAACTGCTCACTGGTATCCTGGGTACAGATGCACTATGAGGAAAGTGAGGGCATGTTTGGTTTAAGGGTATTTCACATTAAATAGAGGATATGTTGAATGTGGCACTAAATAATATACTTGCATCTTCTGACAGTAGTGGGTAAACTTACAGAATCTATTTGTAATTCAGAAAACTGAATTCTGAAATTCTTCACAACATGTTCACAGTAGATGTTTTTAGTTCTTCTGTCTAGTTTTGCACTTTGTAGACTGTTTTTCTGTGCCAGCTTGTTTGTTTTGGGGCATTTGGGAGTGGAATAGAATATTGTCACATCAGAAAACCACCACTAGTAGACCGTGTGACACGACTGACAGTACATTACATAGCATACAATATGCCACTTGTGAGACCTGGACAGAAATATTGCATGATGCCCGTGACATGTATTCGAGTACCTGTTTATGGCCTGGGTATAGATGTACTTGAGTTCCCGATATTGGGTCAGGTATAAATGGACTAGTGTGTCTCCCAGACCCTAGAGAATAAATTAAAAAAGGAGTCCAACTTAAGTCTAGAATGATTTTCCCAGTCTAGATTGCCCCAGCTTAACAATTAAGGATTGTTCTGGGCTCTATTTGGATTTTATGTACCTTTTTTTGTAGATATATATATATAGATAAGATAAATTTATTTTTGGAGCTAATGTTCAGTGAATAATGGACTTGAGTACCAAATAAGGGATCAGGGCCCACTTGCACAAAGCGATCTTAGCGCTACGACTATCGTAACTCTATGTTAAAGTTTGGGAGTTACGATCATCTTAGTGCTGAGATCGCTTTGTACAAGTGGACCCAGGTTTTGATGTACTCGCACCGATAGCGGGTCGGTTATTAGTGGCCTCAAGTAAGGTGGGGCACAGGGTCGGGTCGAGATAGAATTGAGTCTTATGATCCTATGTTGATGTAGACTGTGATCTCTATGTGCACAGGGCATGTTGGTTACCTACAATGTTACTCTGGTTACCTACAATGTTACTCTGGTTACCTACAATGTTACTCTGGTTACCTACAATGTTACTCTGGTTACCTACAATGTTACTCGTCATTACCTGTCCCCAGGTTACATCATGTGTGTAGTATGCCTCAACGTGAGTAAAATGAATTGTCGTGTCTGACACAGTCTGGTTGTTTGAAAAATGTCAATTGAGATTTGAGCCAGGAAAACCTCTGGACTTTTCAGTGTGTAGGAAGTCTTTTCTTGATAAGTATCATGTCCCACATTTGAAAAAAATGCTACAGCCATTATATATAATGTGATAAATATTTATCAGAACAACTTCAATTTAGTTGATGTCCAAGGTTAAGTTGTCCAGAGAGCCTGTGACAACATCCACAGTGTGATGTCATCGGCAGTCCAGAGTGGCGGCATGTCCGTCTCTCACATGGTTGAGTAGGTGTGCTAAGTAAGGGTCAAAACCAAGATCCTCCACAGCCCTTTGTATTGTCATTGTCACTAAATGTTTTGTGTTTGCATTTGTGTTGCAATTTTGCAGGTGTTATTATTCCGTCTTTTTCAAATGAAGAATGCTCAACCTGCCTTCAAATCTTAAGAGACATTATTTTGATCTCCTGATTCACAAGCACCTATTTATTTCTTATGATGTTAAACGTATAACGTAAGGTTGTCACTCTATGAAGCATAATAAGTATGTCGGAGGTCATGTGTACTGTTGTGTTAATGAGTGTACGAAGACTGAGATATGTTTGCTCTAAGCACGTGTGCATGAACATTGGGTGACCTTATTATGTTTTAAGCAGTTTTATACTTTTCTATGATTTTTGTCAATCTTCTGAAATCAATGATTTGCAAGTTGTAAATATTTCCTCAAACATATATCATATGCAATGATGAATAAAGTGTATTTGAAGTTGAGGTGACCTTTGTTGTTTGGCCAGGAGCCCTCATCATGGGTCAGTGTAACATGAGTGAGTGTTTGTGTGTGTGAGTGAGTGAGTGGGTGGGTGGGTATTGCTTGTACTAGGACAGACTCCTGTTAACCCACTGAGATACCATGCTGCAGTTTAACATGAATATCCCACTCAGACACAGTATGTACTGACTCTGAGCCGACCAGTCCTTGTTTTAGCCCCTAAATGTGAGTGACAGACAGGGAAACAACAAGTACCATCTTTCAACGTCTTTGGTATGACTCGGCAGGGGAACGAACAACCAACTTTCTGCTCTCGAGGGACATGCTTTATACACTTGACAATGGACTACGAGTGTTCGAATCCCGGTTCGCCCCGGTTATGTTTCTAGGTTTGTCAGCACCATACCCATGCTTGTGCGTTTCACCGAAGTGTCTGAGACCTGCATCACTTCAGGCTTTCCTCCCACATTCAGCTGACACACCGCGATGCAACTGGAATAGTGTTAAAAGCGGCGTTAAACCCAACTCACTCACCCTTCCTCGTCACATAGAGACGCGGGTGTGATTCATTGCCAGATTGGTGCTGATGTGCATAGCCCACCTGTACAGTGACTACAGTAGCCATTGTTGGAAACATCAGTCAGCAAGAAACCCACAACACGGAAGTTAAGCACCCTAACATATGTATCATACTCCTCAATCTCATTAAGATCAGATCTTGGTTCTCGCTTAGGGCTAAAAAAAAATATGAGGACATCCCATTACCTTGCGCGAACTTTGACCGAACAATGGAATGACCAATCAAAAGGCAGCTTTCTCGTGCTTTACGGCACTAGATCTATTTTCAAATTGGCGACAACGCTTCGAAACATATTTTGACAAATTCTCGATTAAAGATTTGAAGCCTGAACAAAAAACATTCTGGAATGGCTAATAGATGGTCTAGATTGTATGGATTCAGTCGTTAAACCCGTAACTATCGTTCGTGTTGTAAAACTGAGCATGCTGTTTCTACAAATATTTTAACGTCATATGAATCTTGATCAGGGTTACAACATTCATAGACACAGTAAAGCTTTCAAACGGTTATATTGTAAACATATTTGACGCATCAGTGACAAAAATGATGTCCGATGCAGTTCCCTTTTTTGACTTGTACCATAAGTCAGCTGAACAATTGACTTGCCTTTACATGTATTTGTGATGGGTGTGACCGATGGGGCAAGATCCACTTTTACCTTTTGGTGAACACCGGGTGTCATCACTATTGGATACTGATTCATAAACACATGAGGTGATGTGAGGTGAAATTGGGTTTAACGTCGCGTCCAAGATTATTGCACTTATAGAGCGACGTGTATGCACGTGTGTGTGTGTGTGTGTGTGTGTGCGTGTGTGTGGCTGCTTGTACTAGTCCGGACTGATGCCGATTTATAGTGCTAGCTCACTGAGATACCAGGCCGCAGTTTAACATGAATACCCCACTCAGACACAGTATACTGACTTCGAGCCGACCAGTCCTTGTTTTAGCCCCTTAATGCCGAGCGCCAGACAGGGTAACAACAAGTACCATATTTTAACGTCTTTTGGTATGACGCGGCCGGGGACCACGGAGGCGGTCCACAAACACATGATCATAATATAGTCGAAATCGTACAATCGACTCTGCGTTTTGCAGAGATTTCTTAAGAATATGGACATGGTTTTGTCGCTTTTATTTGTAAGCGTTCTATCAGGTTTAAATGCACTGACCGGTATATTGTGGTCCAGTTGGAATTCAGCTGTAATACCATGGTTCATAATGGGAAAAGTGTGCGACTGTAGGATTTCATCACCGTAGCACTGGGCTGTTAAGTTGCCTTGCACTTACACCCGTCTTGCTCTACCAGTGTGGGTAAATACTGCCCACATCATTACGTTACCACCGACAAATGTGTAGACCCACAGTCTACAAAACGTTCATGACAACGTCGGTACAACCTGGCTGTTCCATCAGCTCGGTGCACCATAAATGTTGACCGGTCGTCTAACCAAATAGTTGTCCATAGCCGGTGAGGTCATACGCTGTGTGCTTTGCGCCACCGACGCAGCTGATGATGCGTCAAGACAACACCTCTGTCATGCCGTCTGACTCTGAGACCTGCTTCTCGATGGCGGCTCCGCACTCTCTGATTAGATATAATCGAAGTCCTGGAAGCATTCGTCACCACTAGCATGTTTCCGTAACCTTCGGCTTGTCCCGGAATGGGGCGAGATGGTCGCGAATGGTCATGGAAGTGCTGCTGTTGTACACTTTCGGCGCAGATGACGCAATCGTGGTGTTTATGTATCAGCGAAGGATAAAACATGGGTGAAATGTCGCATTGTAGTGACCAGATTTCAGCAGTATGAGTAATTTAAAGTGAGTGAGTGATTGAGTATGGTTTTAAGCCGCATTTAGCAATATTCCAGCAATATCACGACGGGGGACACCGGAAAATAGGCTTCACACATTGTGCCCATGTGGGGAGTCGAACCCGGCTCTTCGGAGTGACGAGCCAACGCTTTAACCACTAGGCTACCCCACCGCCTCTCTGATGGACGTCCCAGTCCACACCTTCTGTCGCTGGATTGTCTGGTTCAGACTCGATTACTTACAGACCGCCGTCATATAGCTTAAATATTGCTGAGTGCAGCGTTAAACAACAAACCAACAACAACCTTCTGTATGCAGTCCCATGATCTCTCAAACACTTGGTCCGGTCTGTGAACCTCTACTGAGCCAGCATCCCACAGAGCCGCACCTCTACATGTGAAACGAAGACCATTGATAACTATATTGTTATATCTTCATCTTACCCCATTACAGATCCGGTGGACTATCATGTAGCCTTGCTATATTGTGAACTTGTACTTGTATTTGATGATGGTGTGATACTGCAGGTCGACTTCGCCCACCTAACCATGATACAGACAATAAGAATTCCCCCCCTCTCAAAAATGCTTTCGTCCGCCCAGTCTGCCTGAAACAGGCCATGCGCCTGGTGACCGCCATTCGTCTACAACCAAACCTCCCTGCGACGTAGTCATGCGTTGCTCCTTGGTGTATCCTACCACCAGCTCGTTCTCTCTGTAATAAGGTTAATCTTAGCATGCTACTGTCCAACGGGTTGGGTGAGAAGGAACAGCGCATCGTTCCTTTTATACCCATGTCTTTGTAGGTTGGCTTGCTGCAAGTGCAGCCATCGCTTCACTTCAAACTAAAGTTCCTTCGCCCTGGGTACTCTAGCACGTTCAATACTCAACAAACTAGTTTGGTTGTGTTAACGCGATTGATTCTCAACCATTTTGTAACACTATTCGGGGTTTGGGCCCAACGTGTCCCAATTTCAGTTTGGTAACGTTTCTTTAAAAGTTACGCTAGTTATGTCCATCATCCACAATCTTAGTCATAGAAATGTTCATTCCTCGAACACTGAGAAAACTTTATCATTCCTTCCGTATATTGAAAATCTCAGCCTCTAAAAATGAAGAGAAGAAAACATGACTCTCCCCTTACACAGTGAGTGTTGGAATGCTGTGGGGATTCGAACCCGGCTCTTCGGAGTGACGAGCCAACGCTTTAACCACAAGGCTACCTCACCGCCCCTCTCCTGGACGTCCCAGGCCACTCCTTCTGTCACTGGATTGTCTGGTTCAGACTCTGATGATGTGGTGACACGCGTGGCAGTTCTCTCTTTTTTGACATGTGTGATTTGCTGCTTTGGCAAAGTTAGGCGCATGGTATGTCTACCTGATTGTGTTTGTGTAAAGATTCCGAGAAAGATATTTGTTCTGTTAACAAGAGATGTACAGTAAACCACGGTTATAACGAACCCAAATGGACCACTAATTTTAGTTCGTTATAACCGTAGTTCGTTATAAGCATATTCATCTATACAGCAAATGGCCGGGACCAAAAATTAAGTTCGTAATATCCGTCAGTTCGTTATAAGCGTGTTCGTTATAAACGTATTTAACTGTATATGTATACATTGGTTAAGCAACAAACACTCCTGAACATCAGGATAACAATTTTATTAAGGATAGTATATCTAACAGTAATATGGAAGTATAGATTTGACACGTTACCACAATAAACGAGATTCATCGAGAAGTGAGTGAGTGAGTTGGGTTTAACGCCGCTTTTAACTGTATTCCAGTTATATCGCGGCGTGTCAGCTTAATGTGGGAGGAAAGCCCGAAGTGATGCAGGTCTCAGACGTTTACCACTTCGGTGAAACCCACGAGCACGGGTATGGTGCTGACAAACCTAGAAACATAATCGGGGCGAACCTGGATTCGAACCCACAATCATAGGTTTCTGGCGTGCCCAAGGGACGCAACTCTGCATAGCGAATTGCGGCGCCTTAGACGACTGGGCCACCCGTGCCCCCTTCATCGAGTAGAATGAGGTACAGGTATAATGTTACAGTCACGTGATAGACACTTGAGTCAATGCAAATGGACGGCAAGCATAGTTTTACGATGTATACTGTTATAAAAATGCATCTCTCGGAGCTCCTTACAGAATCTCCGACATTCCAATGTGTTTTCAGTCCAATAGCATCGAATACGATAAAATTATAAGAGGAACATTTGTTTCTGTCAGACTCGCATACATTTGAGTATTTAAACTAAGGTGCTTAGTGTTTATCATCTGTGAATATTTTCAAGGTTCGTGCTAGAACTCGTTGGCTGCTTCCCGTGTATACAAACACACTCGACCATCTTACACTACACTAAGACCGCCTCCGCCCGGAGAGCGGAAGGTCCGGGGTTCGATCCCCGACCGCGTCATACCAAAAGACGTTAAAAGATGGTACTTGTTGTTACCCTGTCTGGCGCTCGGCATGAAGGGGATAAAACAAGGACTGGTCGGCTTGGAGTCAGTATACTGTGTCTGAGTGGGGTATTCATGTTAAACTGCGGCATGGTATCTCAGTGAGCTAGCACTATAAATCGGCATCAGTCCGGACTAGTACAAGCAGCCACACACACACACACACGTGCATGCACGTCGCTAAGTGCAATAATCTTGGACGCGACGTTAAACCCCATTTCACCTCACCTTACTCTACACTAGGTGACACTTTTCGGAGCGTACGCACCTTTCTGATTTTACCGCTCGATCATACACACTGTCAAGTAATATCCTTTTCGCCACAGAAAACATTTGTTCAGACCACGTAGAACACATACTCGTTATGTCAGCTTCCATCAAATCAATCATAATAAATATATATATTTACAAGTATAATTATTCTTACAAGGAATAAGTAATCTTCAGTGGAAAAATTAAATACTCATGAAAATAAAACAGGGAACACGTAGCAATGAAGCAAAAATAGACAAATACATCACATCATCATTATTGTCATATATTGCAACTTTGTTGCTAAGCAACCACAGGTTATCACGAGACAACTTATGGGAAGTTATCACATACACATGAGATGTTATCAACAACACATGAGATATTATCACCTACGTTTCCCTTTGTAATTGTTCATTTGTTTAGTATAGATAGCACCTTCTAGCGCCTCACAGACACCTTGGGGTGTATACTCCCCAGAGAGCTGAGAATGAAAATCAGGTGCCCACTGATCCATTGACCGGGGTAATAATTTAAAAAAATTATGTTTTAACTTTTGTTACATTTTTGTTGCCTCTTTTTCAGGTTGCAGGGGTAATAATAGTATAGCCCTATGACATCCACGGTGAATGGCATTTGGCGCATTATAAATGCACATATTTTTAGATGAAATTATTATATACCATGAAAGACGTTGGTAAGTACAACAATAATATACAAGAAGCTGGCATTACACGTCCAGTGTACTCCCTGACCCAAACATACAATAACATGCACACATATAACATACATTCACGTGTTCACAAATTCAACAATTCAATACATGTAAGGCCACAACAAACTGTTTACTTGTTCTTCAGGTTGGTTTTTTAAAGTGAGGAACGGAGGAGACACTGCAACGTGAGCCGTGACAGCAGTGACATCAGTGACAAATATTTTGATATGTTCTCTTGCCAGATGTTAAATTCTCCCAAACAGACGGAACATTCATTATTTGTTGTGACCTCATGTGTCTCAACCGCTTCAGTGCAAGCCAGGAGTTCCACTGGGGTTCACTGTGTTCCCTGGTGTTCCACTGGGGTTCGCAGTGTTCCATGGTGTTCCACTTGGGTTCGCGGTGTTCTATGGGGTTCCACTGGGGTTCACTGTGTTCCCTGGTGTTCCACTGGGGTTCGCGGTGTTCCATGGTGTTTCACTGGGGTTCGCGGTGTTCCATGGGGTTCCACTGGGGTTCGCGGTGTTCCATGGGGTTCCACTGGGGTTCGCGGTGTTCCATGGTGTTTCACTGGGGTTCGCGGTGTTCCATGGTGTTTCCACTGGGGTTCGCGGTGTTCCATGGGGTTCCACTGGGGTTCGCGGTGTTCCATGGGGTTCCACTGGGGTTCGCAGTGTTCCATGGTGTTTCACTGGTATTCACGGTGTTCCAATGTAGCCTACTCTGTTCCATAGTATTGCATAATGTACCACGCACTAAAATTAAATGATGATGAAAGTGCTGACCTTGACAGAAGGTGAGGCAACATTTAATGGTTAGTAACATCCGATAGAGTTAGCGAGTAACTATACAGTGAGTTACAAATTAAATATCGCCGACTTATACAAAGCAACCATACACATATAAATTCACCTACAATCAGACTCACCAACGCACTAACAATGCAAAGAGTACACGTTTTCCTATGCGCTGATGCATGATTTGATTTAAGTCTGTTTGGCCTTGTCTGTGGACTTTGGAATGTAGGATGGTTGGAGAATGAGCGGCCTTCATTGGCGTCCTTTTTAGCCTACAGTGCCCCGTGACTGGGTTTTGTCTGACTAGAAAAGCTTGTAGGCCACCGATAGTCCAGCATGGGTAGCAGGTCCTTTCGCAAGCGTAAATAATGTCGAATTCAATCGTAGATATGGCCTTCCTGACTAGCACCGTCGTTGATAAAACACACGTGTCCATTGGTAGCTTTCGGATCTTACTGTTTGTTATACAACACCTTGATTGGTTGGTCCAGTCACGTGACTATACCATATCCGATTTTGAATGACTGTTGTGCAGTTGACTGGGGTTGACGCTGTAGAGGAATGTCGCCGATATCACAATGGCCGCCCCGAGGAGGAATACGCTAGCGATGGGAAAGACGGAGAGTATTAAAGTATTAACACTGATACAAATCCTTGTCTGAGTCATGAGTGTGTTAAAATAATAATCCCATATGAGGACAAATACTATGGTCTCCGATGTGGGTGAAAACCGTTCTTTGACAAATGACAAATGTTAATCTAAGCGCTAATGGTAAATTCACACATATATGAGTGAGTGAGTGAGTATGGTTTTACGCCGCTTTTAGCAATATTCCAGCAATATCACGGCGGGGGTCACCAGAAATGGGCTTAACACATTGTACCCATGTCGGGAATCGAACCCGGGTCTTCGGCGTAAGGAGCGAACGCTTTAACCACTAGGCTACCCGACCGCCCCGCCACACATATATGATGTAATGAAGTAATTGGTATGTAACTATGTATAAGACATAGCTTCATCATTATGCGTGCATGTGTTTGTTGTTTAACACCGCACTCAGCAATATTCCAGCTCTATGACAGCGGCCTGTAAATAATCAAGGCTCAATCTCATTATAGTCAGACCTTAGTCCTCGCTACCGCTAAACAAAGATCTGAAGACATCTCATTAGAGGTCCCTTCAGAACGACCTTTCATCCGACCAATCAGAGCGTCGCTTACCAGATTATGAAAGAGACAGTCGGACGTGATTTCTAATCATGCAACCTCGAAAACTTTATTCCAAACGATAGTTACGGGTTTAACGACTGAATCCATACAATCTAGCCCATCTATTAGCCATTCCAGAATGTTCTTTTGTTCAGGTTTCAAATTTGTAATCGAGAATTTGTCAAAATATGTTTCGAAGCGTAGTCGCCAATTTGAAATTAGTGCCGTAAAGCACGAGAAAACTGCCTTCTGATTCGTCATTGGTCGGTCAAAGTTCGCGCAAGGTCGGTCAGACGTGACCCGTAATGAGATGTCCTCAGATTTCTGTTTAGCGGTAGCGAGAACTAAGATCTGATTTTAATGAGATTGAATCAAGTCTGAACCAGACAATCCAGTGATATTGTGAGCAACGATCCAGACGACCCGACCGGTTGCTGGGGACCTATTCTAAATCGGAATCCCTACGGGGACCAGTAGGTATGTAACGTCACTTACCAGTTGATGGTGAGGTCGCCAATGATGAGGTAGGAGACGAGACAGGAGAGGACGATGGAGAGGGCTGAGGCGAACCCCTTCACGATGTTGTCGGCGTACTTGATGACCAGCGACACCACCAGTCCCAACGCCGCCTGCAACAACAACGTCAGTTCCATGGTTCCAGACAAAACAACTCTGTATACCTGCACCAACTCCCTCCCGTGGGGGGTACGGGTGGCCCAGTCGTCTAAGGCGCCGCGATTCGCTGTGCATCCCGTGGGCACGCCAGAAACCTATGATTGTGGGTTCGAATCTCGGTTCTCCCCAATTATGTTTCTAGGTTTGTCAGCACCATACACGTGCTCGTGGGTTTCACCGAAGTGGTAAACGTCTGAGACCTGCATCACTTCGGGCTTTCCTCCCATATTCAGCTGACACGCCGTGATATAACTGGAATACTGTTAAAAGCGGCGTTAAACCCAATTTACTCACTCACTCACTCACTCACTCCGTTATTGTGTTATTTCGACTTCGAGCGATCAGACATGCCGTTAGGATATATTCCGCTTTTGAGAGAAAATAACATCGTTTTCGAATCGAGTAACTGCAAGGAAGATATATTTATGCAGGTATTTGCTTGAAGTGAGTAAACAGTATTTCAGTTATCGTCAGATCATAGGTTTTCGGACGGCCATGTTGATCGCGATTAATCACGCTATAATGGAAAGTGTAGCATCAAACAGACATTGTAAATACTCAGATGATGGCTTGCTTTTAAGAGAAAGTTGTCTTTTATAAGTGAATGAGATGTTTTACAGCTGTTCATGTGATTACAGAGAAAAAAACGAATGTTTCTTAAGCGTCCGAAAACCCATAACACGGGAATATATCAGGCATGCCGGCTTAACGTTGGTGGACATTTACCACTGAAACAGCAGGATCTGGTTCTGACAGCCCAAGGATCATAAACAGCAAAGGCGTGAACTTACGGAAGCCTTTTAGGGCCATTTGTTTTGTTGCTGTTTTTTCCCCTTGAAATTTCAAGATACTAAGTTGAAATTTCAAGACACTAGTTGAAATTTCAAGATACTAAGTTGAAATTCAAACAAGATACTGACTTGAAATTTAAAGATACTTAGTTAAAATTTCAAGATAATGACCTTGAAGTTTCAAGAAAAAAAAAAAATGTCCCTAAAAGGCTTCCGTATGATCCTCCCCACACCCTGCGCCTAATCGCACTGGGCCACCGTGCACCCTGTATAGACTGTGAATACTTAACGTCATAGTCTAGGGATTGCACACGCACAATATTCACCAACGTGAACCATTCACTTCAGTCATATTCACGACAGCAAACATTAAATTTTTCTGACATATACGCATTTATCAATGTGAATGTGTTGACGGATGTATATGATATTTATTACTATAAGACATGGAGTGGGCGTGGCTTAGGTGTACTGAGCCCTACAGCGTCTCTTACCTGTTGTATGACTATCAACCACGTCAATACATTGTAACCTTGGAAGAACCCGTGTTGTAGAATTGCGTCAGTGTCGGAGAATGCTGCACACATGACACCAAATATGATCCCTGATACGGCTGAAAAAACAGATATTACATTAAAAGCGACAAAACCCTTTCATATTCATATAAAGACATTTCTGCCGATTGTATTACATGTATATCAAGAGCATGTGTCTATGAATCATTATCAAAAACAGTGATGATACCAGGAGTTCACGAAAAGGTGAGCGTATCCGGCACCCGTCAGAAACACATGCAAAGGCAAGTCAATTGTTCACATGAAAACACGGAACCTTTTGTCAAAATAGGGAATAGTATCGGACATCATTCTTGTCACTAATGCTTCAAATTTGGAAATGTCCTCCACGTATACCATAAAAGCTTTTGAAAGCTCTACTGAGACCTTGAATGCTGTAACCCTGATTTAAGAACTTCTGAGCAAGAGTCGTATGACGCTCTTTGAAATCTTCGTAGAAAGAGCATGCTACGTTGTACCTCAAACGTTGTGATAGACACCAAAGGCTGGAGCCGCTGGAATATTGCTCGACATGAAGGGAAAGTTGAAACAGATGAGGCGGTCTCACTGGTCTCCTTTATTTCCCGTTCACATGGGTAAATCAGTGGAAGGGAAATGGCTATTTGAATGTTTTTTAACGATATCAGATTATCGATATACCGATATAGCTTAAGTTAAACTTCTTGGCCAAATTTGTTTTTACTTTGCTTTACATGACAAAACAGATCAGCAAGAAAGCGAGCACAATTGATGCCCAAGGGAATCCGACTTCTTGCCTAACTGTCTTTTGGTTTGGTTTGGTTTGTTGTTTAACGCCGCACTCAGCAATATTCCAGCTATATGACGGCAGTCTGTAAAAAATCGAGTCTGGACCAGACAATCCAGTGATTGATATCATGAGGATCTCCAAGCAATTGGGATCGATGACATGCATCAACCATGTCAGCGAGCCTGACCACCCGATCCCGTTAGTCGCCTTTTTACGACAAGCATTGTCACCTTTTACGGCAAGCATGGGTTGTCAAATTTTACATTTGTGTTATAAGTGAGTAAGTCCAGCATTTCACATATTGTTTTCTAAATAAACTTCAGATGAAAAGAAAACAACAAAACATTAACCTGAAATAATCCATTTAAAGGCTTTGACGTCCAGCTGACGTTGTTTTTATGCACAGAAAAGTTATGCAATTGTCGTTGCACGTAAGTTTGATACCGTAGATATTACCTAACTGAACGTTCCGGATCCAGAGGGACTGTTGGGACGACTTCAACACCTTCTCGAAGTAGACCCCAGCAAAGCCGCTACTGAGACACATGGCGATCACAGCTGACAGGCCCATCATCCAGGAAGCTCTCCCCACGCTCTCATCAGTATCCACACACTCGTCTCCGTGACAACTGCGGGGCACCGGGAGCTGTCAGAAGATGTCAGATTCAGAAGCAGGAAACACAAAGAACCGTAGGCCATGTAGCTCATCTAACTCTAACTGACACTACTTACTGAGGTAAACAGATACAATCGACTATAAATAATAATACGAGGGAAATGTGTTATTATTGAAACGTAGTTGTGATTCTCCCATGATAAACATGAATGTTTTATCTGGATAAATGGAAGTCATGGGACCAAATAACCTTTTTATAAGGTTGCCACGGAAACTAAAACAAAAAAACCCGATACGAACTTCAGCTTTTTGCATCTTTCGTTTCTTTAAATATGGTTAACCATTTCTGACAGATAACAAAATCTCTTCTGATCTTTTGTAAAATGTACACTCATTGGTGACTACGAACCCATCTCAGAAAATCTCACCTCTATTCATTAAGCGGTTCTACTTTTTGAAAATAACGACATTCAATTTTGATGACGGGAAGATCTTAAACATTTTTGGTCAGAAGCATTTACAAAAGTCAAAGGCAACGGACTAACAGGTGTAGCATCCATATCAAATAGCCTTACAGTTGTCACTGGTCATGTCAACGGCCTTCGTACTGAGGTGAACATTGGCAACACGGGGGACATACACCAAAGGTTGTGTTATAACCTACATTCTGACAGTGAAAGACGTGTAGAATCAGATCTATAGAGAACACAGGAAGAGAAAGTGACGAAGTTTTTTTTGTTAGTTGTTTAACGCCGCAATATTCCAGCTATAGGACGGCGGTCTGTAAATAATCGAGTCTGGACCAAACAATCCAGTGATTGACATTATGCACATCGATCCACGCAATTGGGATGCGATGACATGCTTCAACCAAGTCAGCGAGTGCGACCACCCGATCCCGTTAGTCGCCTCTTACAACTAGCATAGACGCTTTTTACGACAAGCATGGGTTGCTGAAGACCTATTCTACCCCGGGTCTTCACGGTTCAATTAGACAAAGTAGACACAATTTATGGAAAACAGCTTCTTTATTTACTTAGAAGGCGACGTTTCGGTATAGATTCTTATACGGCTTGACAACGGTATAAAAATCTATATCGAAACGTCGCCTTTTACAGTAATAATATCATTTCTCAGATGGTGGATACGCATGTTTCCTTGGTGGTGGTGACAGGAGCTTGACAACAGTATAAGGATCTATTCCTAAACATCGCCTACTAAGTAAATTAAGAAGTTGTTATCAATAAATTGTGTCTACTGTGTCGGTGACGAAGGGACCGGAAGTTCTTACCTGCACTAGAGCAACGCCTACTGTGAGAAGCACCAACGACACCCACTTCAGATTCGTCAATTGCCGTTTGAGGAACATTACTGAGAACATGGCTGTCGTGAGGATCTTGAGCTGGTAGGTGACCTGGAAGGTTGCTGCGTCCAGACTGGACATGGCCACAAACTGCAGGTTGTTCTGGAGGGTGTACAGCCCCGACGGCACGGCTAGACGGAGGGTCTCCCTGACCTGCTCCCTCACGCTGCTGGTGGGCAGAGATCTGCGGACAGATACAGGTATGAGATATAGGCCACCTGTGAAAATATCTCCTTTTCCCCCGACGCTCGATAGTGAGATACATCATATTTCACTAGACACATGAAAAAACCCTGTTCTATTTAGTGTGTACTTCATTTGTTGTTGACAGTGTTTTTGGAAACATTTCCCCAAAACAATTTAGGCGCAAACATTAAATTCTTCCCCCTTATATTCAGTGACCTTTTCACACACGGCTTCCTTCATTCAAACAATATATAGTGCCAATTTTACAAGAAAAATAATTCAAAATAATAATAAACTCGATAAAATGCTTGAATTTTTTTTTTTAATTTACGTACTGCTGAGATTTTATTTCACACCTTCTGAATTAATGAATACCAATTTACTGTTTGAGATATTTAATCTGACTTACACGCGCATTAAAGTTACAAATTTTTGAACAAACATGGCAATTTCTAGAAGGCTGGAGGCACCCATATAAGCGCGACAAGAGGTAGATTAGAAGCATTATTTACTTCCAGAATTTCCTCTGAACTTCCATCACTATTTTGGATTCAAGAAGGGAGACAGGTCTGCTTCAAGACATTAGGCAGTGACAAAAGTATGGACATTTGTGAGTGTACTGACATATATTATAGGGCCTATTGCTGCAGATTCTATAATTTGACCCCATGAAATGCCTTTTGTGGTTGTTGACCTAAAATTGAATTGTTTGATAGGCATGACTTGGAAAGATGAAGGCATTTACAGTAAATAAAGAAATTGTTATCCATAAATAATTTATAGGACTTAACAAACTGTGTCGAATTCCATCTTCTCTATCATATGGTCGTTTTAAGGGATAATGGAGGGGAGGTAAACTCACTTGTCCTCCGTGAGCGCCACCATGACGATACATGTGAAGAGTTTGATGACCTCGGAGAGGATGACGGCCGTCGACGTCAGGTACCGTGGCCCGCTGACATGCGCAATGCGGGAGTAACGTATTGTCAGAACGAGGCAAGTAGTCTGTATCACGAGTGTGGCAAGACTAATCGTCTTCTTCTTCTCCATCGACACCAGTCGTCTCTGAAACAGCAACGTTACTTTACAACACCATCTATACACACCTGCCAGATGGTTATGCACACCATTCAACTAATACATTCAGGCCAGGACGTTAGATAACAGTGTTCACTACCCCTCTCCGTGAACTGAAATAAGACACAATTCGCTATACACTGAATCACCACTTGCTCATATTAAAAAGGCAGACCATGTGCCTGAGTGGAGGTGAATGAGAGTGAGTAAGTGTGGTTTTACGCAGCATTTAGCAATATTCCAGCAATATCACGGCGGGACACCAGAAATGGGCTTCACACATTGTACCCATGTAGGGAATCGAACCCGGGCCCTTCGCCCTGGGGTGAACGAGAACTGTTGCCCCTCAGAACAGACACATGGTACTCTCTCTAATTTGTCAGTAGTAAAACGAACAGAATTAGTGATAAATAGTCTACAAATACATTTAAGTAATGCTTTCAGATCAACTGATCACCTTCACATGGCGAGTGTCCCGTGTGGCGACGGCTTGTCTATGTCTCTCACGAAGTGTCATGGCGCTGTGCTTGAGTCTCAACAACCGTTTGTCGGTATGTCGATAGAACTACGGGAATATTCCCCTGGTATAAGAACGACGCGTAACATCTGTCTCCCCGTTCACATCAGTTCCAATTGAATTGTTAATTATTCAAAAGGACCAATTTATAAATTAACTTTTTTGACAATTAGCATTACACGGCCAATGTAATACGCTTACTGATGTAGACGCTTCAGTGGTCAAATGTAAATGCCAGTCTAGCAGTGTTGACAGATGTGTTGGTTCCCACTCCTTTACTCGGTTCAATGTTATTTTAAATTAATGTTATGTTCAAATAATTCATGTTATTTAATCAATAAGCCAAGCGGTTTGTGGCTTTGATTTTATAGTACCGTGTGAATCTGTGATTCGAACCAGGCGAACACTCACTACCTTATTCACAGCTCAAACATGATGGCTAATACAAACTTAGCTACAGAATGTGAATCCACATTGTGGATTCGGATCGCAGGCAGGACTCAACCTAAAAAGTACCAGAATTTGTACTTTACTAAGAAGGTGTTATCCCAAATACAACACGAGTAACATGCAACCACAACCTCCCAGACCTAGGGAGGCACAACAAGATGATTGGAAAATGTGAGCGAGTGAGCTTTGTTTTACGCCGCTGTCACTACGGAGTGTACAGTATTTAGTAAACAATCAGCCACGTCACACATTACCATCACACTTTCATGACGTCAGTCAGCTCTTCGGACAAGCATAAGTAACGAGGTGGGACTGAGTTATAGGGAGCATTGGGTACTATGACCAATCCCAGTCCAGATGCCCCATTGTGAAACAACTAGTGGTTTTGAAGACCTATTCTGTTCCAGATATTCAGTGTGGGGACAAGCATGGGGTACTTGTGACCTATTCTCGTCCAGATGTCCCATGGGGAGAGAAGCATAGGGTACTGAAGACCTATTCTGGTCTAGTTGTCCCCTGATGAAACAAGCATGGGGTAACTGGTGACCCATTTTGGTCCAGCTGTCGAATTGGGAAACTAGCACGGGCTACTATGACCTACTTTGGGCCAGATGTCCCATTGGGAAACAAGCATGGAGTACTGGTGACCTATTTTAGTCCAGACGTCCAATGGGGAAGCGAGCATGGGGTACTGAAGGCCTGTTTTGGTCCAGATGTCCCGTTGGGAAAGAAGCATGGGGTACTGATGACCTATATTGGTCCAAATTTCCTGTTGGGAAACAAACATGGGGTACTGAAGACCTATTCAGATCCAGTTGTCCAATGATGAAACAAGCATGGGGTACTGAAGGCCGGGTTTGGTCCAGATGTCCTGTTGGGAAACAAACATGGGGTACTGGAGGTCAGTTTTGGTCCAAATTTCCCGTTGGGAAACAATTGTAGGGTACTGAAGACCTATGCTTGTCTCCCAATGGAACATCCGGACCAGAACATGTCACCAGCACCCTTTCCTTATTTCCCCATGGGACATCCGGACCAGAACATGTCACCAGCACCCTTTCCTTATTTCCCCATGGGACATCCGGACCAGAACAGGTCACCAGCACCCTATGCTTATTTCCCCTTGGGACATCTGGACCAGAAAAGAGTGGTATAGGGACGGCTGTCATCCTTGACAGTGCCCACATGAAGACACCTGTCACAACCGTGTCATCAACCTATGTCATATACACGGATATACTAGCGAAATGATAATTTGACGTTTAATGGTGGAGAGTCAATATGTCATTACTATGACACTTATATTTAGTGCGGTGGACGTGGATACAATAGAAGGGTGGAGCTGCTGTAACAGTATCTCAGGGCTGCTTCTTATAAACGATTTCGATACACAGCTCAGAGACACGGTTATCGCAGCTAAGTTGGTTGGTTGTTTTGTTATTTAACGCCGCAATCGGCAATATTCCAGCTATATGACGGCGGTCTGTAAATAATCGAGTCTGGACCACGCAATTGGGATCGATGACATGCATCAACCAAGTTAGCGAGCCTGACCCCGTTAGTCGCCTCTTACAAGCATAGTCGGCAAGAATGGGTTGCTGAAGACCTATTCTACCCCGGATCTTCACGGGTCTCCGCAGCTTAGTCGAGTAAGGAAAAGCACATAGCGTGTTTCAACGTAGAGTTAGGTTATCAGTAAGTTTGACGGCGTTAAATTAAAATTGGAACCGAACGCGCTGCGGGAGTACAAAAAATGCAAACACGTAAATACAAATATATGTTGTGTTAAGCCCTGTAGATCCTTTGTTAAACCGACTTCCCTGCATGTTAACGCTCTTGTTAGTTAGGCATAGTTTGAGAGAAGTAAACGAATGACAAAGACAGATTAGTTTAAACTGACCGTCAGTGTGAAATCAAAGGAAGGTAATGAAGGGAGTGGCCTGCTCATCCCATATCAAACGGGTTTTTTATGAATAACATTTTGGAAATGAACATTTGTGAAATTTTGTCAGCGGATGTGTCTTGTTCTATCATCGCTACACCACAAATAATGGAAACTGGGAAACACCACGAAACACACATTGTACAGATCGATGTCACTGCTGTATGTATGCGTCAAACATATACGGACCGACAACAGACTCAACGTGAGACACATACAGACAACAGACACATTCACTCGCAGAGTCACGGACAGACAACAGACACATTCACTCGCAGGGACACGGGCAGACAACAGACACATTCACTCCCAGAGTCACGGACCGACAACAGACACATTCACTCGCAGGGACACGGACAGACAACAGACTCAACGTGAGACACAGACAGGCAACAGACACATTCACTCCCAGAGTCACGGACAGACAACAGACACATTCACTCCCAGAGACACGGACAGACAACAGACACATTCACTCCAAGAGACACGGACAGACAACAGACACAACGTGAGACACGGACAGACAACAGACAACGTGAGACACGGACAGACACCCGGACAGATATACAATATTTGACGTACGGAGAGACATCAGAGCGATCCAATCACTGACAACACGACCGCCAGACATTTACACTATCTGCCTCAAGTTTGCCTTATTGTAAAAGTGATGCTCAAAGCTTACGTAATGTGACCACACATCAACCGCCTCGTCACATCACGTGGAGTGAATCTTGATCGCCTTCCTGAACACTACCATACAACATCAGGCGGTCCACGCAAGGATATTAATGAATCCCTTTATGGAGCTAAAAGGTTACAAATGACAAAGAAATTATTTCTGAAATGTCCCCTTTGACATAAGCCTATACACAAAGCGGAAAATAATGAGCCGCTGGAATTCCGCTTAAAGGCCACAAGAAGGAGGTCGAGCGTGTTTACAGGCTGTGTAATGATATATATGTGTGTTAACTGTGTCCGCGCCACAGTGAGACTAAAATCAGTGTGTTGTTACAGTGGGCAGATCACACACCAACAAAAGTTTTACAGACTCCAGTATATAGGCACGCGTACACGCGAACTGGCCACAACACTAGGGGCCCTTTAATACGAGGCATGGGTAGAACCGTGTTTACAAACCCTCGAATGTACAGGGCTGAATGTAACCCGACATACGATTAGCTCATGGCTGGTTGGTCATTCCGAGGTTTGTTATAACCAGAGACCATATTATATGGTCTCTGTTATAACCGAGTATCTGAATCTTCATGTGTGCATTTTGCACATGGAATGCGTTATTGCAGTTCATCCAATATTCCTGTAAGAACATTTTCTATGTGTATTCAAACAACATAAAGTACACTTACCCACGTTATATTCAGAGAGAAATCGTGTCCTTACGCAGTATTGTACAGTTAATGGATTCTGTCACTAAGGTATTCTACTAGGATTCTATTCTATTGTATTCTGTATATTCAGTGTACTCAGTGTACTCAGCGATGAGGCGGGGCAGACGTGTCATGTTATACAGCAGAGATATAAACCTTACCTTACCGATGCACAGAACAGCTGACGTACCTGGCGTCACTGAAGCGTGACGAGCTGCGTCAACGAACACGCCGATCTCGTCCAGTGTATTCACGAGTATTACCTGAGTGATACCTCACTGTGTTGACAGACGAGGAGGCTGATGAATTATGATATAGGTCTCAGGTAGAGTGAGTGAGTGAGTGAGTATGGTTTTACGCCGCTTTTAGCAATATTCCAGCAATATCACGGCGGGGGACACCAGAAAGGGGCTTCACACATTGTACCCATGTCGGGAATCTCAGATAGAGTCAATATGGGTTACAATATACGCCTTAGAGGTGAGGTGAAATGGGGTTTAACGTCGCGTCCAAGATTATTGCACTTATATAGCGAAGTGCATGTACGTGTGTGTGTGGCTGCTTGTACTAGTCCGGACTGGTGCCGATTTATAGTGCTAGCTCACTGAGATACCATGCCGCAGTTAAACATGAATACCCCACTCAGACACAGTATACTGACTCCGAGCCGACCAGTCCTTGTTTTAGCCCC